AAAGAAGTTTCATATTGATATGCCTGATAAAAAGACAGTTTGAAGCATATTTATATGAACATAAGGTGATTTTCTTATTTTTCCAATGATAGAAAGAAATATTTTTGACTGATATAATAAGAGAAATTATAAAAACTATTAAACATTACATTTATATAAAATATGGAATCTAAATTTACTAACTGCATAAATATAAATTAGTACTAGTTAGAAACATTGTGATCTTTTATAATTGTTTTTAATAATTCAAAAAACACTATTAAAATAGTTAAAATCAAAGATTCTCTAACTTTTTAAGATATTTTTGAATTTGATAAACACTAGTGAGGATGAGTGATATGACTATTTTTCCCTAGGTAAAAATTGTTGAAACATCAATATTTCATATTTCGATAGTTTTTCTGATTATAACAGCACAAAGATTTAATGTCAAAGCATTTTAATACATTATTCTTTTACATGAATCCATAATTTTTTTTTACTAATGTTATTTTATGTATATAGTATAATCATATAAATTAATAAATGATTACAATATTAGCATAATTTATCAATGATTGTTGCAGTAAAAACACCTGATAATTAACTTGTTTAATTTTTTTTATCAAAATTTAACTTTTTAGTGTAATTTAAACATAATATAAAGGATTACTAATTAATTTAATTAACTCAAATGTTTAAATTATCATCATCAATGACTAATATCAAATGATTCACAGACTTTGTATTTTAGGCTCAAATGTAAGATGAATTTCTTTCTTAAACAAAAATGATACTTGGAAAAATGAGACTCCTTTCCTTATATTTTAATTAATTAAGAAAATTTAAATATAATTAATTTAAAATAAAGTTTAAATATTTTAATGTTTTATTAAAATATTTAAATTTTATTATTTTGTAGTATTTTTATTCAGAAAAGATGTATTTAGTAAGACATATTATTGAGAGTGTTAAAAGTNATTTTTTAGCTATGTCACATTTTTATTGTATTTAAATATTGTTAAATCATCAAAATGTATGAATTTCCAATAATTCTGCAATTTCCTCAATCTGACATTGTTCTGGTTCCACATACGTCACATTACTGAGATTGTACTGTATTAAGAAATTTAAGACATTTTTAAATATTAATATTTTCAAATTGCATTTAAATACTCAATTCTTGAAAAATTCCAAATGAATATTTTGTTATTTATAGATAAGAAATAAATACATATTAGCTTGCTACTGTTTAAATTTAAATTTTCTGTCTGTAGCAGTGCATATTTTTCTGTCATGTTACCAATACAAACAAAACCAACTATGTTAGAGTTGGGAGCTAATGGCAGGATGCATGGCTGTTGTCATGCATGCAAATTAGTTGTTTTAGCATTGTGAAATTAAGATTGTTATTTTTTTTCTCAGATTTATTTTAAGGATATTGATTATTCTATCTATGGTTTTTCTAAGTAATTTTGATTTTTGCAAGATTCTTTAATCTGTTGTGCTATATATAAATATTTTTTTCTTTTCCATTGTAACATTCAGTTGCGATTTGAAGTTGATGAAACTCAATAGAATATATGGATTTTACTTCTTACTGTTAAAAGTTAAAATTTGATATAAACTATTCAAGAAATAGAATATATTTAATACAAAAAAACAAAAACATTAAAATCCATAACATAACAGTATAATGAATTCCAATTATTTCTCTTGATGATGATCACAAACATTTGTGATTACAATCAAGGTATTTCTATGGTTGATTTTTAAGTTTGATTCAAAATGATGCATTTACATTCAGTACTCCAAATTCAACCTGTAACTTGATTTATATATTTTTATTGTAATTTGAATTTAAATTATAAAGCACACTTAATTATTATTAATAGTCACATAAATTATGTTTATGCACTTTAGTATATTTTTATTTTGAAGATATTTTCTAAAATTCAATATATATAACTATCAATAATAGTTCTGTAAAATTAGATATAATTATATATAAACCACAACAAATTATATAATACATGTTTATGTATATGTAAGACAATGTATATATTGCTCTCAAATGAATCATGATTTTCCAGCTACTATATATATGAAATAAATATGCATTCACAAGAAGCATTTATATGCACATTTTAGAAAATTGATAACAATATTCAATATAATTATTAACTTTCTGTAAATAGAAAAATATATTTCAAAAAATGATGATCAAATATAAATTCAATAAAAATATTTGTATGTTTAAAATGAGAAATTACTGTAATAAAATTATTAAACTGAAAATTAAAATTACTTTATATTGTTTTAATAAATAGAATTAGGTCTAAGTAAAAAAATTAATTTTTATAATTTTTAACTAATTTTAAAAAAAGCTGAAAATTAGTTTAATCTATTTGTAAATTATTTTTGTTATTTTAGTCAAAGATCAAATATTTTTTAAAAAATGTAATATTGATAATAACCTATCTATACAATTCTTTTACATAATGTTTGAGGTCACCCATTAACTTTTGACCTTCCTCCCTGTTTTGTACACTGATGTACTTTTGTCAAACTCCCTCCCTTTAATTACATGTACTGTACAATAGTTTAGTTTATGGACCCTTCTGTCATTGTAGAAATGACAATATATTTTCAGAACTTTATTAACTGATAATTTATTCACTTGACTTGTAAGTAGGCTTATAAAAAGAAATTTGTAGGTCAGTAATACTACTACAACAGTCCATGTTGACAATTCCTCGATTGCCCTTAAACTGTACATGTAATTAATGGATGACCCCTTATTCACAGATCTGTTTGTTTATTTATTTTTTAGGAGTTATATCATGCAATGTGTTCTATTTTTATATAAGAAATAATACCATGTCAGCAGATTTAATGTAATTTATATCTCTTAAAAGTACTAAGTACTTAGTGTAATAAATTAAATAGTAATAATTATAGAAGTGTTTTATAAGTGTAGGAAATATAAAATTAATAGTAAAACACTTTTAAAAAATTTTAATAACTGAAAATGTTCATTTTGGAGATTTGATTGTAAAGTTTAAAATTTTATAACATAATAAGTTTTCTATACTTAAGGCCAGGACTGTTTTTCAGTTGGAATGCACTAGTATGCTGTACTGGCAAATGGCATAAAAAGCTTCACTAGTCAGTATGTAATCTGGCAGTTTCTCAGTAAAAAAATTCTATATGTTCAGGCAAGAAGTCTGCTGACTGGCACAACAAAAATAATTGACAAACTGCCACTCTGTTGGCCACAAATGCCCTGAACTGATTGGAAAGCAAATGGGTGGGAACCTCTTTCATCAATGGCTATCTTTTGATGAATGGACAATACTATCTGCTAATTGTCTATTCCTATTTCATTTTTGTCAAGAAATGAGATACGGAGATATGCTAACGATGATATTTAAAAAGTAAAGGTAAAGACATGAGTACTAAAAGACCATCATTTAGTAACTTGATACTAAATCTGAAACAAGTAGGGAAGATAGTGCAGATGGACCTTTGAATATATCCTCAGAAAGAGTGCATGGATAAATAGTTTAATTTGAAAGACTGAATTCCTAAATTCTTTGTTTTGCTTGCTAGTCCATTTAGATAAACTAATGCAAGAGCAAAAAAACACTCTTTTAGATAATTTCCTTGACCTTCAATGAAAGATCTTGTAAGTACCCAAATTTAAGCCTGAAACTATAAATAAAAAAATGCAGTGCTAAAAATACAGCAACATTTTTGGAAAATATCATCTCTAAGTTGATTATCATAATTTGTTAATTTCATATTCAAAAAATACCATTTTATGCTCATCTTATTTACATATCTATAAAATATTTTTAATATAAAAGTATGTGTTTTTCTATTTAATTATTTTAGTTTATAAAGTTTGTCCTAAAATAGCTATGCCAATCTTATCCCTTTGGTTCTAGAAGTTTGAAACATTGTTGATCTAAAAACTATACTATTGAATTTAAACTCTAAAGATCAAAATGTTGTAAATTTAAAATTTCAAATAATTATATTTGTTATTGTTTTAAAGGATTTTTAATCTTAAATTGAACAAATTATTTAGTAGTTATACTTGAAACATCTAATCTATTAAGTTCAGAATTTATACTTAAAATAACTATCATTACTCATGATTAAATAAAGCCTCTGATATGTAACTTGCTCATTTTTGTTTTTTTAATGATTCTTATTGAAAACATTCAGGTGTTGAATTAAATAATTCCTAAAACATTGCTTATATTTAATCCTGTCAACAATTTTAATAGATTAGGTCTTGTTTATTTTTTCATTACATAGACCTATGAATACATACAAACTTAATTTTTTTAAAACGTTCAGAAAAAACTTTAATAATTAAAATAAAAATCATTTTAAAATTTTAAGCAGACATGCATGATATACAAATTTTAGTTTAATATATAACTCCTAAAATAATAAATCAGCAAGATACACTTGATAGTAAGTTTAATTTTATTCTTTTAAACAAAATTTTTCATTAAAATTATTGAATTTTATATAATACATTAAATGTTAATATTTAGATAGATTATTTTCGTAAGATATTAAGTTTAACAATGATGTTAATGAAAGTAATGATATAGTATTAGAAAATTAAATATATTAAAACTTTGAAATAAAATTTTAAGATTATGAATATCAAAAAAATCAAAAAACAGCACACTTATAAACTGGAAATGTATAACTAATTAATCAATACCTAAATGCAATTTTCAGCACATAATAAGCCTTCCAACAGTAAATTTGTGTTTATTATGTGCTGAAAATCGCATTTAGGGGTCGATTATTTAGTTAATTTGATTATGAATATAACTTTAATTAATAAATAAATAATAATCTCTAGTTTATGATAATGTATATCTATTTTTATATTTTGTTAAGTGAAATGAACAATAAATAAATTTATGAAATAGGCTTAATTTTTTATTCTAATTAAATACAAATTTATTGATTTTCATTATAAATTATTGTAGGAGAAGAAACTAAGCTCAGGTTCTCTTGGAAGTGCAGATATAGCAAAACCAAAACAGGTAACTGTAACACATCCAGGAACAAATAAAGCAAAACCCACCTCAAAAAAGAAAGGTTCTATCCAAGCAGATTTGGTGAGTTTATTTGTATTCAAAATTTCAAAAATTATGATTTCGTTTTATCTTAATAAATTTTAAATTTCTGTTATATTACAATTTTAATTTGTTCTTTTAAAACTGTATATTAATTGCTTTACAAAATTTCTCATAAATGGTCTACAAATTTTATTTCACATANCCTCAAAAAAGAAAGGTTCTATCCAAGCAGATTTGGTGAGTTTATTTGTATTCAAAATTTCAAAAATTATGATTTCGTTTTATCTTAATAAATTTTAAATTTCTGTTATATTACAATTTTAATTTGTTCTTTTAAAACTGTATATTAATTGCTTTACAAAATTTCTCATAAATGGTCTACAAATTTTATTTCACATGATTCCTAAATTATAAATAAGGCTTACAATTTTATAATATTAGAATAAAGTTGAAAGTTTATTGATATCACATATAATGAATATAGAGACTTCAAAAGAAATAATGAATTTTTGATTTGCAAAATTGTGCATCCATTATCAACTTGGAAAATCAGTGTTATATTTAGTATAAACAATAAATCATAAATACATTATAGGTTATTCTTATTTTATGCCAATTGACAATAATACTGGTTTGAAATTTTCCTCAAAATATCTCAAGGAAGTTTTTCTAGAATGTGGAAATATTTTTTTGCAAAAACTAAATGCAAATATCAAATAATTAGCAAATTTGATAGAACACTTAGATACACGAAGAGAGAAGGTAACAAACAGTGATGAATCATAGTGTGTTGTAAAGGTAATAACTACTGACATGCTTAAACGATTTCTTGCTAATGTCATTGATAGAAAGAAGATTGTTGTAAAATGGACCCTCATTGGGAATGAAGTGACTTTGTAAAGAGGAGTTTAAATAAAGCCTTAGCACATTATGAAATTCTCTAGGTAAGGAAAGAAAGGAATGGCAAACAAACAACTTTGGATTTATATTTTACGAAAGTGCATGATCCTCCATCTAGCTTGTTATTAATTAATAGACAACTCAACATCACAGAACTAAAGTTGTGTCCAGCAGCTCTACTGTATGAGGGGAATATATAAAAATTGTATTATGGATTTTGGCTATAAATAAATAAGTTATTTTTTTCCTGATTTTATTTATCACCTTCAACAGGAAAACATCACCAACATAAAATGAGGGAAGCCTGTATATTAGACAAAGTGAAAAGAAATAATTGTATTTGACTATAAGTTTTTGATTATATTGACGATGAAACTTTTAAAAATCAAATATACTTCATATAGTAGATGAAATTGTATTATTTGCAATTTTGACTTATTTATGCTATTTCTATGATTATAATCATGATTTCATTATTCTCACATCAATAATGTGCATAAATTTTAAAAAATAAGAATATGATCTGATGTTTCTACTAACTGTAAATTGTTATCTTTCTTTTAATGATTTTTATTTATTGCTTATGGCCAGTAATGACAAAATACAGAGCTTTCGTTTACTCTCATTTTTAATCATCAAACTTAATATTTCCACAACTTTGACTCCCAACATTTTCACTGGTGAGTCAGTTTGTGACTCATTGAAATTTGACATTACAACTATCAATACGCTGTATCTGGTATACAAGAATATGAGATTAAAAATACAAATACTGTATGACATAGTGGCCAACAATCTAACCAAAATTGGGGTGCCCTCCATTGGATAAAGATTAAGCTGTGTGTCGCTTGAGTGAGTATAAACTTACCAAATTGGTTTTGCATAGTCATAACCTCATTGAAAGATAGTTAGGTTTGAAGGACATGAGTCGTATCATGGCTACCAGGTGAGCATATACAATTTTGTTTTACACCCAGAGCAATTGTGAACAAGTTTTCACTTTTCCAAAAAAAGGGAGCTGAAATTGCAAAAATTAACATATAAATATGAGAACTTAGCCAAAAATTTTCAAAAATTTAGTACAAAATAGGTGTGAAAGAAAATTGTAGAATAATTGGTACATTGGTTCCACATACAGATCATTACAAGCCCAGTTACGAGATCACAAGTATGACATGGCAAAAGGAAACATCAATATGGCCCTGGCCCGATATGCCACCGAGCCGGAATTTCTTCCTTATGGGTGGAGGCTACCCTAATACACAGGTATTCATATAAGAACGTTAGAGGTTGCAGAAATTACAGGGCCAACATAAGAGGAGCATGCATCAACACTGATTACATTCCCATACCAAATATATGGAAGTGTTATTTAGACTCTTAAAGGAATATATGTTGCTTAATATACGTCACAGCCATTGTTTGAACTGATTTTAAAATATTTTAAAAAATTACATTTACAATGTGGCAACATTCTATAAATAGAACAGTTATTTTCTTTTGACTTTTCCTGATGAAGGCCAATAAATGAGTGGCTGAAAGCATTTGAATGTTGAATTTGGGTGTTTTGCTGGAAATTTGATGTTTATGTGAGAGTATGTATATATCATTTCAGTTTACTGTTGTGGTTTTTGTGTGTGAAAGAAAACTTTTTGAATGTGGGACAATGAAAAAATCTGGTTGCCCTGAGTTTTATTTATAAGTATGTACCAGTGCTATACTTCTTAAAATTTGTAATATCTGCAATATATTTCAACTTGTAATGTTGTACAAAGTACACAATAAATGCATTTTTTGAAACTGACTGATATGGCTCGTGGATTATTTAACTTGATTCACATTTACAAACCTAATGAGTCACAATGACTCACAAAATTTTTAGGTTAGTGAATACTCTGAAAATACCAAAACATTATACATTTAATTATTGTAATGAATTATACAAAATACAATATTTATAGACAATCTGTATTTAACATAGAAATGAATATCATTGTATTATAACAAGAATTATTATAGGACTGTTATAAAATTTTAGTTTATTTCTTTTTATGATGTATTGCATATGTATTTACGACTATGTATATAAGTTACCTATTGGAATTTGTAAATCAAATCACTATAATACATTACAGTACAATCTCAATAATCTATTCATTTGCTGCTTTGACACATCTAATAATCTGACAATACTCAACCTCTGACATTACTGTTGCCAATTTGTAAACAAGCTTTCCACTAGTTCAAATGCCAGTTCCTACCGATTCACCACACTGATTATCTGTATTGACACTATGCACAAATGTTTTAGTCATTAGTTAAATGCTAATTATGGAATAAAACTCAAGTTGGATTCCATGCTGTCAAATTTATTTGTGCTCAATTTTTTAGCTATGTCACATTTTTATTGTATTTAAATATTGTTAAATCATCAAAATGTATGAATTTCCAATAATTCTGCAATTTCCTTAATCTGACATTGTTCTGGTTCCACATACGTCACATTACTGAGATTGTACTGTATTAAGAAATTTAAGACATTTTTAAATATTAATATTTTCAAATTGCATTTAAATACTCAATTCTTGAAAAATTCCAAATGAATATTTTGTTATTTATAGATAAGAAATAAATACATATTAGCTTGCTACTGTTTAAATTTAAATTTTCTAAATTATCATTGCTATATATTGTAATCAATACGTGATTTATTTGAATATATAATGAACTTTTGAATTTATGCTTTTAACTTTTGTTCTAATCAAACTGTCTTCATTAGACTTTTGTTTTATCAGTTAATAAAATAATATGAATAAAACAGTTATTTTTCTTTAATTTAGAATGAAATGCAAGCTGCATACAAATAATAATTTTATAAGAAGTCAAATTAAGTATTTTAGAAGTTAAATTAATTAATTAAAATATCTATAACCATAAGGTAGATAATAGGAAGGGCTTATCACACCAATGACAAAGGGCACAAATGCTCAAAAATCAAAGTAAAAAATTTAATAAAACAAATAGGGTTGTACAATAAGATGATTACATAAGTATAAAAACCGTAAAAATCCAAAATGCATTTCGGACTATTTTCCAATGGAAAAATAGTCCCTCATCAGTTGGTAATAGCGACATTACTCCTGTCCACATTGATATGCTTACTGTTTGTACAGTCATGTCGACGGTTTCATCTTTATATTGTATAGCTTTAGGCATATTTTTTAGTTTAATTTTAAATTTAATATTTTTTCACTTTGTATAATTTTAAGTATACTAAGACCTGTCGCTATTACCAACTGATGAGGGACTATTTTTCCATTGGAAAATAGTCCGAAATGCATTTTGGATTTTTACGGTTTTTATACTTATGTAATCATCTTATTGTACAACCCTATTTGTTTTATTAAATTTTTTACTTTGATTTTTGAGTGTTTGTGCCCTTTGTCATTGGTGTGATAAGCCCTTCCTATTATCTACCTTATGGTTATAGATATTTTAATTAATTAATTTAATTATACTAAGGGCTAAAAGCAATTTTCTGCAATATTTTAGAAGTGTTTAAATTTAAAACAAATTAAAATTGAATATGTATTAAAAAAGAATATAATAACTAAATTCTAATTTTAATAATTTAATATGGACATTATGTACTGTACAGTATACTGTGTATTACTATACAGTTTTTCATTATATTCTTTGAAAGAATTTTGAAAACACTCTTCAATTGTTTAATCAGTTGTAATATTCAGATACAGTAAAACCTGCCAAAGAAAAAGAAATTTTTCAAAACAGTGTGATTTATGTTAATTCTTACTATAAGCCTGAAATCTGTCCAACATGGAAATGGTAGTTCAGTACAAAGAATTAACTTAACCTGGATAGAGTGGAAAATTAAAATTTCATTTGTAGATTTTGTAGACTAATAAATAAAATTGTCTCTAGTATAACAATCACTGCATATCATAATAAACTATATTCCAAGAATAATTTTGAACTTGTCAGAGAAATGAAGATCATGTGATAAGGGGACATACAAGCAGAAGGTCTTTGTTGGAATTAATTAGGAACAGAATCAAATACTTTTAAGAATCAAGAACATTCAAGAATTGAATGAATTTCTGAGGGTAGACTTCTTGAAAAGCAACAAATGTAATTCATGAAAATGATGAAAATAAGGTAATACATTCTGTTGGTCAGTTTGCCTCATGAGAGTAGTTATTAACTAACTAGTACTGACTATTAAAAAAAATGTTGGTTAACATGTTGATAATTAAATGATTAATTACAGTATTAAAATTACTGGGAAAGCCAAAACACAATAAACTGGTCTTATAGTAATGTGATAAGAATTTCCAACAGCAGAGCAATGCACTAGTTTTGAAACTTTAATTGGCTTATTTCAGCTCATATGACATCTAATTTGAATACATAGCAAAAGTTTTTGCAATAGAATTTTTTCATTTGAATATTCCCATCCTTAGTTTGAATTTTTTTGGATTAATTTATATTAAGCCTAGTAATAAAATTTCTTTATGTATGTAAAAGTATTTACTACAAAAAATGAATGTAACTGAGTGACATTAATCAGGTACAGTTTAAACATATAAAAAGAAAAAAATACTAAAATCTGTTCAAAACACAGAAATCTGACAAAATAAAAAAAAATTCAATACTGTATGATTCTAGTTCACAAGGTTTTACTTCATAACTTTCTTCAAATAGAATTAAAATTTTAAATGTTGTTAAGAAGTTATTTTGTAAGAGCACACAATATACTGTAATTACTTGCATATAAGACAAGGTTTTTGTTCATTTTTCACTGCTTCAAAAACCTAAGTTGTCCTATACGTGCGAGCAAAGAATTCTTTGTGTTTTTGCAATAATTTTTGTGAACCATGTATTTGAATTTTTTGCCGGATGCTCACTCTCTGGTGTTTAAAAAAAAAGTATTTTATCTGGGTTGTTGCAATCATTCTTGTGTATTGTCAGGGGTAAAGATGAATAGCAATAGGAAAAGCAAAGTTCTTGAATTGAATTCCAAATTGAAATTCTAAAATTGCATGGGAGCCCGATATGAGTTTTAATCCATTCCCATGTGAAAACAGATGATTATTTGGAAATTAAAATTTGGAGAAAATCATAAGTGTAATCGACAGAGAGTGGATTCAACTGTTAAGAATTAGCAATAAAAAAAAATAAAAGGTTTCCGATTGTCCAGCTCTACATTAACAAATTATGTTGTCGATTTTACAAGATTTTTCCTTAGTTTAAAATGCCATTAATTTTTGCAAGACAATGTGTGCATTTATGTGCATTTGATATCTTATTTGTGATTAAACAAAATAAAATTAGAATTGTATTAATAAATCTAATTTTCTTTATCGTGATCTTTAAAGTCACACCTTGAGATCGTCTTATACGTGAGTAAATATGGTATATAGTTTACTACAGGTTATTCTGTATATTATTTCTAGAGTTTCATAAAAATACAAAAAAGTATTATATATATATATTTTTTAATTTATTATTCTACAATACTTAGAAGTATTGTATTTTGATTTGTGAATTTATAAATTTAAATAAATATTTTTCTTTGAATAACTGAACAAACTATTATACATTTTAAATAAACATCGTAAGTATTAAAATTTAATTATTAAATATTTAATCAGGATATAGCCAAAGAATTTAATCGCTGTAAAGAAGAAAGTTCCAAAAGATTGGATTTGAGCAAATCAAGTGTAAGTACAAGTTATTATTTAAAGTAAATATTTAATGCAATTCCAAAAATATTTTGAAAATGCTTTAAAATTATTTTTTACCAGTGTTAATTAAAATAGTAAAAAGAAATATTCATAAATTGAAGTTAATATTGAATTTACTATTTACCATGGAATGCATATTCTTTAATTACTGTATTTACTCAAATCTAACACACACCTTAACTTTTATTTATTCTTCCATAGAGTTTTTTTGAAAATACTTTACTTGACATAAATTTGTCTCAAATTGTCTAAGTTATATATGAGCCATTTACAAGCCGAATCGATTAACTCCACATTTCGAATTTATTTAAATTTTAGCGTGAAAGCACTTGATATACTTGTAACTTTTTATATTCATAAGTTTTCCCAATAATAAGAATCAATATCACTTAATGACAAAATTTTATTGGCCATCAAAAAAAAATATTATTTATTTCAGAAGCCAATCTAAGTAACTCCATACTGTAACATTAATCTGCCAGTGCACACTGCGATTGCAATGTGCGCTGACCAGTGCTTTGTAGATAATGGTAAATTATTTAATGTCATCTCATCACAAAACATAAGTAAAAGAAATTAGTTAGTTACTTCTGTGGCAGTTGGACTGTAAGTATACTTGTGGAGTATTGTGTGACCCTACGGTCACACAATACTCCACATTGTGTGACCGTAGGGTCGGTGTCTCTTTGACACCCCGTCAGGATGTGACACTACCGAGTCTCGCAGGACTCGGAAATCGCGACTTTACATCACACGAGCGGTAGCGTACGAGGTTTGGACCCAGAATGGAGAAAAAGGAGAGAGAAACGGAAGAAAGTGCACTCGAGAAGTTTAAACATAAACAACTGTTTATTTATATGTAAGCTATGTTAGTTATACATAATCTAAATTAGATTTACAACAGTGAATAAAATGCTAACATAAACTACATGAATCGTGGTAGGTAATTGATCATTTTCTACCGGTTTCGCGTTTAGTTTACGAGAGAGAGAGAGAGAGAGAGCATACAATAGTGCGCAGGCAGGATAAATACCTTAGGTTGTATTGTTGATCAAGTACCAGCACAAAAAAAGGTTCAACAGTTCCTTTCACTTGAGTAGGTGTTGAGGTTTTCTAGTCTTGTAGGCGAGGAGGCGGTGTTGGTTGATGTTCAGGAATCTCAGCAGGAGGTAAACGACCGGCGCGCACACACACACACCAATAATAACTTCCACACCCTTACTCATCGTGCCTGTCCCTTTTATATCAAGTCCTCTTTTTCGAACCTTTCCCCGATTTCGTCAACGATGACGATCTTCTTGGGCCAATGAGGTGACGGGTGACACAGAAATGTACTCATCTCAACAAGGAACCCAACTCATGGGAATCGAGGTTTTTATCAATTTATTTTCCCCTTTTCCTTTTTTTAGTTTTCTGTTTTCTCGTTCCGTCTTTATAAAGTTTATTAAACAAAAAAATTTTAGTTTATAACACAAAATTTCTGATCCTCACAATTGAACGATTGTTTTAATTTTGGCAACAATTGTTTGTAGAAAAAAGAAAACCCATTATATCAAGATGGATAAAACTAAAAATAATTTTTTTCATTTCTCCTATTAAACATGATTCTTATAAAAATTTAAGAACAAATTGACATGATGGGACACAAATACAGCTGACAAAGAAGACATCATTTATGTTGCTGAATAATCAATTTAAACAAAATTATTATTATTTTGTTTAAATTAACCATTAACTGTTAACCATTGTAACAGTAACAGAATAGTTATTAAAATTTTATTGCAAAAATGAATAATAAGAAATGTGCACTAATGTGAAGACTGAATTTGATGTTATATTTTTCACTTGCCAAATCAATTAACTCCTTCAATCACATCAAAATCATAATAATAATAACGATTATAGCATATCTATGCCATCTTATACATTTTATATGTGTTTAAATAAAGCCACATCTACATTAATACATTCTACAATGTTTATTTGAATTTATATTTTACAAGGAATTTTAAAAAAGAACATATATTACTTTGTCACTTTTCTCCACTTTTTGTTTTATGGAGTTAATCGATTTAGCAAGTGAGCAGCACATATATCACTGTCTTCTGTGATATCAGTCAGAAACATCATCACTTTCCTTATTAGACTCTTCTTAATCAACATTGGAAATGCAACATTTTTGAAGTGTAAGGAACCAAGTCCGAGCTTTATTTTTATTTTACTTTTACTTTTGCTTTTATTATATTTTTGTTTGGGGCTTATGTTTAGTTAGGACAAAGGTTTCCTCACCCATCACCCTAACGTTCAAAAAAACGAGAAGATAAGAGATTAACCGACTCACTGACAACGAAACGACAGCGCCATAGCTAGCACTCGCACTCACGTGCACGCCCGAGCGGCAGAATTGTAAGTCCGCACTGAAGGGGGGCACCCCATAGACTTTTTAGGGACTTGTATAACCTTAAAACGAAACATCCCGATAATTGTTACAGAAATGCTGTAAAAGGTTAACAATGTATTGTCGAGAAATAAGCTACCAGATAACGAAGAGAAAACAAGAATGTTACGTGTAGATATGTAAATGAGGGGAGTGTCTCAATTGGAAACTGTGACGTCACCTCAGACTATAAGTACAGTAGCTCAAGTGAAGACAGAGGAGGTGAGCTCCTGAACCGAAAGCGTTGGTCTGCTGGTAGCAGTGAACAAGGTGTCGAATAGGAAATCCTAGTAGGAGATTGAAGGTTCGATTTTGGTGATTTGGAAATAGGAAAGTCTTGAGTAGAAGAAAAGGTTCCGAGTATTAATTGAGGTGACGGTTAGGATTGATAGTTATAAGAGAATTTGTATCTAAGTTAAGAATTGGATTTTGTTTTGTCGGAATTCCAAGGGGAATAGTTCTAAGTTAGAATAAGACTTAAGTTTGTCGGGTTGATTTGTGATTTGATTTTTGATTAATAAATTTGTTGTTTGTTTATAAATCTTGTACATAGTATTGGTTAAACTTGATTAAACATTTATTATTGAGATTTTTTTGTGACTAACTTTGTCCTTAATTTATTTCGGTGCACGCTAAAAGTCCAGGCCTGGCAACTAACAAATGCGAACCCGCGTAAAGTACCCGTTAGGTCCCAGCTCTAAGAAAAATATCGTTGTAGAGCAACAAATTAAAAATAGTACTTTACAACTGGCGCCCGAACAGGGACCGTTAGGTTAAGAGTAGGATTGTTTTTTTTTTCTTTAGTAGACTTAGATTGGATTTAGAGGAGTAACACCTCTGAAGTAAAAAGGAGAGAAATGGAGGAAAGTGCACCTGTGACCTGACAAGAATTTACTCAGTTACAACAGCAGTTGTCCATGCTGCTACAGCAAGTCTCCACTTTAACAACTGCAGTGACTCAGCTAACATCAACTGTCACTTTGGGAACTGTAGAGCCTACAACACCAAACGTTACTGGTGCTGTAGGACCCAAAACATCCACTCCACGACCGGAAGTGCCTACCACTACGAATGCTTCTATGGTCTGGCTTCAGACTGCTCCGCCGCCGCCAGCCATCCAGTTTAATGGTAGGTCAGAATTAACCGCTCAGGATTTTTTACAAGACATTGAACAACACTTCTGGGTAAACCAAGTTCCGGAAGCTAGATGGGTGGATACCGTCGCTAGTTGTCTTCGCGATAGTCCAGCACTATGGTGGAAACATAATGGACGCAACCGAGTAGGTAATAATTGGCTTTTGTTCAAACGATCTTTTTTAGAAATCTACACTCCACTAGCAGACGAAGTAGCAGTCGCTAAGGAATTATTTAGTCGGCATTATACTGGCAATAATAATGTTGAACAGTTCATCTGGACCACAGTTCAGCTTTATCACACGTGGAGACCGTTGGCCCGAGACGAGGAAATAATTCAATGTGTCATCTCCCAGATGCATTTGTCGCTCCGGGAATATTTAGAAAATCGCCGTTCATATTCGCTGAATGAACTGGTGTGCACGGCAAAGGAATACGAATTCCGAAGGCAGGAACGAAGGGCTCCAGATAAAGTAAGTTTTGTTAAGGAAGAGAGGAAGGCAAAACCTCAATTCGAGCCGAGAAAGTCTGCGTCGGCCCAACCAAACCTCACCTGTTACACTTGTGGGGAGAGGGGACATTTTGCACGCTACTGTCCCAAGACGAAGAAACAGACTGGTCAAACTACTCCTAAAAGCCCAGAAAGAAAAATAATCTGGCGGAAGACGAAGGGAACTGGAACGAAGAAATCGGGAAACTAAAAGGGAGACAGAGAGAAAAGTTGTAAAGTACTATATTTAGCTTGTTGCTCTACAACGAATTTTTCTTAAAGAGCTGGGACCTAACGGGTACTTTACGCGGGTTCGCATTTATTAGTTGCCAAACCTGGACTTTTAGCGTGCACCAAAATAAATTAAGGACAAAGTTAGTCACAAAAACTCTCAATAACAAATGTTTAATCAAGTCTAACAAATACTATGTACAAGATTTATAAACAAACAACAAATTTATTAAATAAAAATCAAATCACAATCAACCCGACAAACTTAAGTCTTATTCTAACTTAGAACTATTCCCCTTGGAATTCCGACAAACAAAATCCAATTCTTAACTTAGTTACAAATTCTCTTATAACTATCAATCCTAACCGTCACCTCAATTAATACTCGGAACCTTTTCTTCTACTCAAGACTTTCCTATTTTCAAATCATCAAAATCGAACCTTCAATCTCCTACTAGGATTTCCTATTCGACACCTTGTTCACTGCTACCAGCAGACCAACGCTTTCGGTTCAGGAGCTCACCTCCTCTGTCTTCACTTGAGCTACTGTACTTATAGTCTGAGGTGACGTCACAGTTTCCAATTGAGACACTCCCCTCATTTACATATCTACACGTAACATTCTTGTTTTCTCTTCGTTATCTGGTAGCTTATTTCTCGACAATACATTGTTAACCTTTTACAGCATTTCTGTAACAATTATCGGGATGTTTCGTTTTAAGGTTATACAAGTCCCTAAAAAGTCTATGGGGTGCCCCCCTTCAGTGCGGACTTACAATTCTGCCGCTCGGGCGTGCACGTGAGTGCGAGTGCTAGCTATGGCGCTGTCGTTTCGTTGTCAGTGAGTCGGTTAATCTCTTATCTTCTCGTTTTTTTGAACGTTAGGGTGATGGGTGAGGAAACCTTCGTCCTAACTAAACATAAGCCCCAAACAAAAATATAATAAAAGCAAAAGTAAAAGTAAAATAAAAATAAAGCTCGGACTTGGTTCCTTACAGAAGGAGTGCTGCACTATTTTTTCTGGAATTTTCATACAAGTACTTATGTCATTACTGTAATATACTAATGAGATTGAGCTAATTTGACTTCTTAAATATATGCTATTATAAAATTACTGTATTGGTCTAATAAAGTCATTAAAAATCATGCAATGGAATTAGTGACAGAGAAATAAGACACATTATACCAGAATCAATAATTACAGCATATTACATTGAATCTAAAACTCATCATACATTAGGCTTATGTAACCTGATAATGTCTGTTTGAAACAGTTAAAAACATTTATTTTAGTAAATATATTGGCATTTTTACAACTGGTTTTGATGTTTTTTGTGTGCTTATCAAACTGTTTTCAGATTTGAAAGATTCTATTTTTTGTTGTATTATAATAAATAATAATAATCTGATATGTAATTAAAAATTTAAAGAAATGTCATTATGATAAAACAGTATTTATAATTTAAATTTTATATGTACAAACTGAATATACCCAATTCTGTTTTTACATAGTTTTGATTTGATCTAACATTTCTCAATAAATTTGCCTTTCTAAAATTTCTGATTTTAATTTTAAGAAAAAATAGTCGTGCTTTTTGTTCTAAAATATCCAGCAACAAGTTGCTTAACTTTCCAGGCAGCATTTAAAACTTTGGTGGCACCGTCTGTTATCATATATTACTTTAAAAACTTTTTATATTTTTAACTATTATAAAATGGCAAAAAGCTTAATTTTCAAGATAAGGATGGGTTTTATAAAAAAAATTGTAAATGCTAATAACAAATAGAATCGTCATTAAGTCCAACCTTACTGGAAATACATACAACCCCCTTTATCTCCTTACCCCTCATTTTTAATCACTGAAATTTAATAGCATCAGTTCCCCTAATAAACAAACCTCTCTGCAAAATTCAGAAATTATCAACAAAAAGCCCAAGAGTTATTAAGCTTCAAAGTGGGTGAACAAAATTACCCGCGCACACTAACATCTGTACATACAGAAAAACTACCCAAATATTTTTGCATTTCTTGACGTTTCAAGGTCACCTGAGTCCAAAAATGTAAAAATCTGGAGGTCATTGTTTGGCGTATTGTAAAAAGTGCTCTATTTAATAGCATTTAAGGCTACTTACAGATGTTTAATTTTAAGGTTTGGCTTTTCATTTTTTTCTCACCCTGTGGGCACTGAGAAGACATTTTAGTCATACCCATTATTAGTTTTGCCAGGTCCAAAATTCGGGCTGTGGACCTTCAGGAACATATCTACCATGTAAAAACAGAATTGGGTATATAAATATATTATAAATTATTTAAATATTTTTAACTGATGCAGTTTTGGCATTGATTTAATATCAATATAATTCATATTAACTTTTAGTTCCAAAAATGATTTTATTGTATGTCAAACTTGAAATTTTTTAATAAAATTTATATAATGTAAAAATATGTTGTCTTTTTAAATTGTATTATGAATCTTTGACTGAAGAATAACTAAATAATTTAACAATTTTTTTTTTTACTAGATTACCATACTTCCATCTTCAGTGAGAGAATTAACCCATTTAGTAGAATTTTATTTGTATGGAAATAAATTGGCAACACTACCTCCAGAAATTGGTTGTTTAGTTAATTTACAAACATTGGCATTAAGTGAAAATTGTTTGACAAGCTTACCAGATACACTTGCTAATTTAAATCAGTTGAAAGTTCTTGATCTAAGGCATAATAAATTAAATGAGGTAAGTAAAATGAATTTTGTTAGAAAATTAAATAAGTATGAGATGGTCCCAAAATCAATTAACTCAGAATATTATTATATATAAATAAGATTGTTTAAATTTTTTATAATTAGCATGATTTGATTTGACTGATTTCTTAGGATGGACTTTGATTCCTCATTATCATTCTTACCGGAAAAACTACTGATATATTCCATATATAACTAGTTTTTCATAATGTTAACATTCTTCTATTATTTTAAAATTTAATGACTGCAACTACAAATCCAAAGAATTTTAATAAATGTATTATGGAATTACTTACAAAACTTTCTTGTTGACCGTTTCTGTCCTGGACATCCTGTTACTTATAAAACATGACTATTTATTCAGTAACATTACAGTTATTTGTGATCTGAATTTTTGATGTCTGATGTCAAAGCAAATGTTTTATGTCTGTAGTTGACATTAATCAAAATTCTGTTTTAAATCAGTGTTTTGAATTAATAGAAATGAAGCATGAAATAAAAATTTTTAAATAAATAAAAACTGAGGTTTTATGTACATAGGATATTTATTAAAAATAGTAAAGTACCTTTATTAATATTAGATTTAATAATTACAGATTCCTGATGTTGTCTATAAACTGACATCATTAACAACTCTCTTTTTGAGGTTTAATAGAATTCGTGTTGTAGACGATGACATATCTAGATTATCGGTAAGTAATTTTTCAAATAAAAGTTATTTTAAATTTACAACATAATGTTTTCTATTTATTCCAATAAGTTTTTAGGAAGTAAATTTTTTATAGTTCAAAAATAATAATTATGTTTTGTACAAATTAGTATCAAATTTGAGTGTCTTTGTAAAATTCTTGTTTAAATATGTATCATTAAAATAAATGCATTCAATCAAATGAGAATGAAATAGGAAATTTGTTAAATGTTCTTGAAGATTAAAACGGAGGGATGATGATGATGATGATGATGATGATGATGTAAAAAAGAATAATTATAAAATATTTGGCTATACCAATACTAATTATTTGGTTTTTTCTCTTTTTTATTGAAGTTTCAATTTTATTTTACTTGAATTGTTATGCATTTCTTAAAAGAACAAACAAAAAATTCACAGTTTATCAAGAAATAAATTTTTCTGTTCTAATAAAACAAAGAATTGCAATTAGATATTTTGCTTTTGTAATTTGTGAATTTTGTATATATTTTTTTTAAACAAGTGATATCATCTATTTTTAATTAAATTCATATAAAATTGTGATGAATTTTCAACAAATAAATAATTCTATACATCAATGTTACCAAATTAGTGCAACTGAAATATGAATTCTGGAAGAAGTCAGGTGTTTTTAATATTTTCATTTTCATTGTTTTCTTTCAAGAGATTGCTGTAGTTATAGTAATAATAATAACAGTTTTGAACTTCATTTTATGCTGGATTTTGGGTGTAAAGTGTAACAATTTATACAAATTAGAAAATTTTGTATAAAATTATTAAACTATGTACAAAATAACAAATTTTTAAATAGTTTAATAGTACAGTAGAGCATCGATTATCCGACTTATTTGGGGACTGGGGTTGGTCAGATAACTGAAAAGTATGAAAAAATACATTATTAGTATAGTATATTAGTATATCACTATTAACCTACTTTGTGTTGAATTTTCATTGATGTTAAGCCTAACAAATTTTTTTTTTAAATTGTCACTATTGTATCGTTAAAAATTATTTTTTTATTTTGTACAAAAAAAATATACAGTATTCGGGTTACATATTTTACATAAAGTAGGCCTATACATTAGAAAAAGAAGTCCAAAATTTATATCTCTGAAGAAAACGACACACAGTCCTCAGAAAAATCCACACAAAACAAACAACCACTCGTAATTAGAAAATTAAGCCTCATTTAAATACTGGCCTCCCTTTCATGGTCGAGCCAGTATTGCCAGCTAAAACACGCAAAAATGTAACAAAAATATTATTAAAGTAGCCAATACATAGCCAAATATTGTAGCGCCACATCACTAGCAGGCATTTGAATTTGCTGACTAGAACGCAGTCAGTTAACCTATGTGATGGTTAATCGGGAGTCAGATAATTGATGCTCTACTGTAATAGTTTTTGCACTGAATGAAATGAAGAGTTTTTATATACCAGTTAATATTATGTATGCTCAAATATTTATAGATTATTGCTTATTAAATAAATTTAATCTATTATATGCATGTTTTATTGCCATGACATGTAATACATAAAAATGAAATTATTAATTGATTTTTAATATAAATTACAAGTTAGTTCTTAATTAATTTACAAAAAGTTCATTTGAGTTTATTTACTCTAAATAGTAATGAACTTAAACTGATATTAATATCAATTTTAAAACTGATATTATTTAGTTTAAAAATTGGTTATATTTAGTGACATAATAATAAAATCTAATAAAAGAATCTTAATATTCTGAAATATTTCAAAATAGCTTAAAATATGCTTACATTTAACAACACATAATTAATTTTAATTTTTTTCAGAATTTAACAATGCTAAGTTTGAGGGAAAATAAAATCAGAGAACTTCCAGCTGGTATTGGAAAACTTACTCAACTTATCACATTTGATGCTTCAAATAATCAGTTGAAGGACTTACCTCCAGGTTAATAATTTTTTAAATTTTAAAGTAAATATTTATTATAGCAATAAATTATTGTAGTCATTTTGAGGAGCCCATTTGTAAAGATTAAGAATTTGATTTATTTGAAAAAGAAATTTATTTACCAAGAACATTTCAAATCTTTTGATTCAACACCAATATGCTCACTTGTAATTAAAATTCTATAGACATTAAATCAATTTGTTATTGGGTTGTCTGGAAGGTTTATAGCGATGTTTAATAGAAGCTGGAGGATGTCAAAGCTAACATTATTGAAAATGTGAGATATTTATGTATATAATGAAATATGTCATCACGACAAAGCCATTATAAAATAGTTTGTTAGGATATTTTATTTAACTTTATTTACAATAAATAATATAATAAATAAATAATGGGTTTTTTCAAAGCCATGCAGATTTCTGGTTGTGGATTAATAACAGGATAAACTAGTTTAATTTAATAAAACATTTTATTTTTAGTTTTAATAATTTGGCATTAATAAAAAATATACAACTGTTAATTAGAAAAATATACTATTGTTTCTCCAACTTATTAAATAGTTAATGTGCATAGTAAGTCAAATGCTGTTTTATTTTGTCAATATGCCTTATTGTAAGGGACATGAAAGTCAGGGAAAGTCATGGAATTTAAAACAAAAATTTGAGTAGGAACCACCCTGTATAGAGGACTTTCTGATGCTTAATAAAATGTATAATCTGGATTTGCCAAAGTCCTCTATGTTCTGCTGTAATGCTAGAGGAATGAACTATAAATATTGGGAAATGCTCCATATGATGAATGAATATTCTTGTCACTTTGATTTTATTATAATCACAGAGTTAGATGAATATTGATGATAGCCCTCTGATATTTCAATTATAATCTGAAAAGAATAGAGAGACCTCCTCAACAACATGATGGGGTATTACTATATATTAATTACTTGGTAATTTTGATAATTAATAAATAATTTATTTACGAAAACACCCAGAATTGATAACTGGTGTGCACAGAAACAAAAAAACTAATGAAACGTTTTCAAACTCTACCAGAATTCTTCTTCGGGCATTATAACTGTCACCCAATGGAACATCAAATTTGTATATTCCAAAAAGCTTTCAAGACGTTCCATTGTGACAGTTATAATGCCTGAAGAAGAATTCTGGTGGAGTTTGAAAACGTTTGCATTAACCAGTGTACACAGAAACAAAAAACTATCAGTTCTGGGTGTGTTGTTAACTACATCCCAGTGTGGTGTAGCATTGTTTAATTTATTTACTTATATCAGGATAAGTTTTATTTATTTTTATAATATATTTTAGATTAACTTTTTTCTAATGTTTAGAAATTGGAAATTGTGTGCAGTTGCTAGCATTAGATGTCCAACATAATGAATTAGTAGATATTCCAGAGAGCATAGGTAATTTAAAGGCATTAACAAGACTAGGTCTAAGGTAAGTTAAAAGAGATTTTGTAGTGTGTGTCTATAAAAAAGTAAATACGCAAATGTTATTTCAGGTATAATCAAATGACGACAGTTCCTAAATCTCTCAGTAATTGTGTCAATATGACAGAATTTAATGTAGAAAGCAATGCTATTTCTCAGCTTCCTGTAAGTATTATATTTAAAAGTATAAATTGTTTATTGGTTAAAATATTCATGCATTGAATAAAAGAATTTGTTAAATTTGTATTTACATCATTTTTAAAATCCAAATAGTTTAAAAATATGGCTTTTTTTTAATTATTAAAGAAATGGTTGGTAATTATAGCTGAAATAAAATACCATGTAAAAAATAGTATGAATAGTTTGTTCCATAAATGTTTTATACAATGGAATTTGGGTTTAGAAAACACATTCAGCACTAGAGACTTTGTCCACTTATACAATAAATTTTTATGAATACCTGTCTTATCACTTACATCTTTCACAAGTCTAAAATGTTTTAAAACCTTTTTCTTCTTACATAAATGTAAAATATACGAAAAAATTATATTTTTCTTTCTCTTCTGACTTTTTGGATATTATATAACTTCAAATTTTAAAACATTAAACCAATAATGACTAAAAAAATTTTTTAAACTTAAAAAGGTATAAAAAGAAAACAGTTTGCAGAGAAAAAACTTTTATTTACATTACAAACAAGCTTCCCAAATGATTTCGCCAAAGGCCTCTTCAGTGGGGCTTACAGTACACAGTTTACGTTCTGACAGTCAACTCATTAAAGAGCCAGTTATATAATTAACAAAAAATTTCCAGCATTCCTCTGTTAACATTCCCGTATTTAAATTTACATTATTTAAAAATTCTGTTCTTGCTCAAACTCAACACTTATATGGGTTTTGTAAAGGATATTACAATAAACCAGAAGATTCTGGTTTGCTATTTTTTTATAAGTGATTTTTATTTATTTTGAAATGAGTAAAAAAATCATAATAATACATGATTCTACTATGATTTAGTTGATATTTTTTCAATCAGCATGATAGATTTGTTATAAATTACAAAAGGAAGTTGAAAAATTGATATTCATTATTGCTAAAATTAATAATATAATTTAGAAATATTTTATTATGGAAACCATATTATTAAATTCTTATAATTATATAGTTGATCAGTTTCTTCTTTACAACTCTCAAGTGTAGATAACTAATGAAACCCCATTTTATTTAAAAGAAAAATAGCTTCATTGACTGTTTCCAGTCTTAATTAAGCATTTCACAAACATTGATTGACTATCATTTTTTGAGTTACTTAAATCTTTGTATGTATCTCAAATACTATTTTAATTTATAACATATTTTTGTCACTAACCCAAATGATTGCTGTAATTAATTGGGCTATTTTTTGCTACAATTAATAATTAGAAATTAAGTGATTTGGTACTAGAAGTATTTTAGGAGTTTGTAATTTTCTGGATTGTTTTCAGATTAAGGTAACGAACCCACATAAAAGTATTTTTGTTAGATTTTTTTCTTTATAGTTACATTGTTTTGATATTTGAACTTAATTATAAAAATGAACCAGCTATACCACTATATAAATCTTTGAAGATGGGTATTTTCTCTTTTTTTTTCAGATATAGTAAGATGATACAATTCCATTAATATATGAAGGAACATGTTTTACAAAAATGTTTAAGTCCTTTGTATGTATCTGTGAAATGGAGATTGTAATTTTCTCATTAATAGGTTTTTTTTTATTGCTTGAGCTATAAGACCAAATTTAAATGTTTTTTAACCCTCAATATACATGGGATTTTGCATATATATCACATATCAAAGTTAATTCACAAATTTCTATTTGATTATTAAGTCATTAAGTTGTCTAAAATTGTAATTTTTACATTTACATTTGCTTGTGTAAAAAGTAAAACAATGGAAAATGAAGAAATAAAATTTAGAAAACATTTATCTAACAGATTTATTGAAGAATTATTAATTGTTTAAAATAGTTATTTACACATAAAAATCAAATTGGAAAATAATTTATTATTTCTACCTTTAATGTTAAAACAATTTGGCAATATCACGTATATGGCATACCACATTTGTTGCTTTTTAACGTATATGGCATACCACATTTGTTGCTTTTTAACCCTATACCATCATACTAAAAATGCTACACGTAGGAAAATTTTTCCAAGTTGAAGGCAACTTTTATTTTTTGCGCTTATTCCAGGCTACATGTTGTGTGTCCACTGGTTTAGACTAACCACTAAAGTACCCCAAAAAATTACAAAAATCAAGCAAAATATTTATCATGCATTGCCTGCACAGTTGCTACTGTCTTTTCTTTGTAGAGTTTCTGTAAAAGCTAAAGAATTTAAACAGAAATGTTTCCAGAAAGTAAGCTTTCTGAATGAGAGCATGGCAATAGGTAAACTAAGTTGCACTTTTCTCTAATAATTAGCAGTGAGCACGAATGAGGAGGAAAGGTTTGGTTTAGCATTACTAGTTCTGAGAACGTTGAACTTCCTTCAGAACAGATCCACATTAACCAAAACTGCATATATTCAGGGTTACCTGTATTTATAAAAAGTTTTAAAAGTCTGATTTTGATTACTGAAGACTTCCTTTACTCATTATGTTTATTTGATGATTGATTAATTCTTAATTCATGTATTTCCTACAATTTTGAGAATACAATTTAAGATCAGTAATAATCTGTTACAGAATTAAATACTGTCTATTTTAATTTTTTTTTTTTTATTCTGTACATGAAGAAATTATCATGTATTCTTGGTATTTAATTAGAATCATTATTTTGTAGAAATATATTTTAAATCAGTGTTCCTGTTTTGCACCATAATTAATATGAAATTATTTCTTTTACAGGAAGGATTATTATCTAGTTTGTGCAATCTTACTAGTCTAACATTATCAAGAAATGCATTTACATCCTATCCTGTTGGTGGACCTTCACAGTTTTGTAATGTCTATGTAAGTAAGCTTTCCAAGTTATTTAAATTTAAAAATACATATAATTTTGTCTGTTAAGTGATTGATTTTTAAGAATGATTCCAAAACATTACCATGTCTACAATAACTTTTTTGGGATCATTGTATTGTACTGAAAGATACTTAAGCTCTTTCTTCTTTTGATTTCATTGTGCTGTTTTTAGGTTTTATATAACCTATAAAATATGAAATAGTAAGTTATATAATTTAAAATTTCAAGAATAGTGAAAATTTTCTACTACATGTACATTAATAATTTTCTAGCATTTTTTGGTTTCAGACCCTTTCTAATCAATAAAAATCACACAATAACAGCTCAACAATACATCATTGCACCTAAAAGTTAAATCACTTATTACTCTTTAGCTAAAATGCTAAGAACTGATATATTTAATATTGCTTTACATTTTCCAAAATTAAATTTAATTTCTTCTTTATTTTAAAAAATTGAGACATTTCACTAAGTCATTTTCAATTCTATCATGTTCAAATACCAGGAACAATACATTGTGGAAAGACTTTTGTTCTTTGTTTTGATTTCAATAATATGAAGAGATTCAGTATGTTTTAGAATCAAAGGTGATATATTTTTTGGTATTATGGAGATGCCAACTACTACAGATTTTCTGTACTTTATACAGAAACAGTGTGTAAATTACAAGCCTATATAAAAACTACAGAACAACCTTCTATAGTCTCAAATAATTGCACTAATGTAACTTTTGGTAACAAGACACATTAAAGGTGTTTTGATCATATAGAATCACTAGTGTGCTGATTCTCAAACCAATTGGTGCATTTGTAGCAATGATGTGGAATGTACAGACAATGGGTGCTGCCAATTTGCAAGTGGCTAACTAAGGTTTTGTCTAAAAATTGTTTCGGTGTTTGAAAATGATGCAAGCTCTTCTAATATTACAATCAGGCATTCTAGAAAAGCAATTCCACTCTCTAACCATGATAAGTGATCTGCTGCTACTGGTGGCCCTTTTTTCAAATTGGCATCTCTGGTATTACTTCTAATCACAATGATATTTTTGAGAATTTTAAAGAAAATTAATCTCATTTTATTGAGTATATTTTTCATATTTACGTTTTTAATTGCCTTTGATTTTAAGTTGAATGAAGTTAGAAGTAATGATATATTATAAACTTACAGTTGAAAATTAACAAAAATTTTTGTTATCTTAATGAATATTTTATTAATTCTAAACTTAATATTTTAAAACAGTCAATTAACATGGAGCACAACCAGATCAACAAAATACCATTTGGAATATTTTCCCGTGCCAGAAATTTGACTAAATTGAATATGAAAGATAACCAGTTAACTTCATTGCCTCTTGGTAACAATGCTTAATCATTTTATATGTATATAGCTTCTATTTAAAGGCATTTTTCTATTAAACAGTTTAATTATTATTGTTTTACAGATATTGGTACCTGGACAAATATGGTAGAATTACATTTAGGCACCAATCAATTAAGTAAAATTCATGATGACATTCAATATTTAAGTTCACTTGAAGTGCTGATTCTCAGCAACAACTTGCTCAAACGTTTACCGACTACAATTGGTAATTTACGTAAATTAAGAGTTTTAGATTTGGAAGAGAACAAACTTGAGAGTTTGCCTAATGAAATAGGTATATTTTATAAGATATCACTACTGCATTGAATAGAATATCACATTAATTTTTATGTTGTAAATTTTCTTTTAGGATTCCTTCATGAGCTGAAAAAACTTATTATTCAGAGTAATCAGCTGACAAGTTTACCAAGAGCAATTGGTCTTTTATCAAAATTAACCTACTTAAGTGCTGGTGAAAATAATCTTAGCCATATACCAGATGAAATAGGTAAATTGATAGCAAAATTTTTATTGCATGTTTTTTAATCAGTAGTTAACTGTATTAGAAATACATTTTCATTTCTATGGTAGTAATAACAATGTATACAAATATACACAACAAACTTTCTTAAACCAGCAAAAATTTCACTTTAATAGACTATTTAATAGGTTATGATGTATTGCAATAATGAATAGCAAGTAGACTTTCCAGAAAATTAAATAACTTAATGATGGCTGCAGTTAAGATTTTAAGCTACCAATGTTTTAGCCCTAAATTGATCTAAAACTTAAATTTAATAATAATAAAACTGTCATCTTACACAAATTTAATTCAAAACACTCTGGAAGATGTGGTTTTGAGCCCTGTTTAAGTTTTATCTTCCACTTACATCTAGCAATATATATGCACAGTAAGTTAATGTACAATTAGAATCACATTGATTGATTTGAAATGCCATTCTATGCTTCATACATTTGAAATAGTAGATAAAAAGCATCCAATATTAGAAAATTTTTTCTATTACAAAACCACATTTTCAAATCCCAACTTTAAAAGTTTGTTTAATATTTTATACAGTTTGATCATAATTTAAGTTTATTTCAACCCCCTATAAAATGAAAACTTCTAGACAAAATGTTTCCAAACCTGGAAATATGAAATCCTATGACCTCCTTTATAATTACCTGCAGAAAAATAATTAGTTCAAAAAGTCACTACAAGGGAAAAATGGCTCATTATGAACACCCCCATGTTTATGCAAATTTGTATTGCACATCATATGGTTTTACTGATGATAAAGCTGTTCATTTCAGCAGGCCTTTCAGTCGTTGCAAATCAACATTGCCTTTACCTTTAAAAGATTGTGCTTTACTCATGAAATGCTATTATCAATGTGATAACAATGAATGGTGTGAATTGAAACAATATCAAACCTTAAGAGAATGAACAAGACCAATTACTACTATGGATTTTAGAAAATGATGATGAAATTTGAAGCCACAGATATGTAACCCATTGTACCTGGATAGGGAAGGAAACCTGTTGCATTGACAGTGGAGGAAGCAACCATGGAAATGCACACAGGAGCTGCAGTATATATACCATTTCATGGCATATGGAATTAGCATTCAGTACAGTGTATAAAATCGTTCATAAAATGCTGCATTACTATCCTTACAAAATCAGATGTGTTCAGCAACTTCAACCTACTGATCCTGCTGAATGAGATGCTTTTGCATTACAGTTCCTTGTACAATACAAGTGGAGATTGATAATGCTTGCCCCTGGAACTACTTGTGGATGGATGAGGCCCATTTTCACACAAATGGGGATGTCAACACACACAGTTGCAGGGTTTGGGCAAAAGAAAAGCCTACTGTTATTCATCAAATCCCTCTGCATTCACCTGAAGTCACTGGTGATAAACCCACATCAGACAGTGTCGTAATTGGACCATTCTTTACATCATACAGAAAAATTCTAAAAATCCAGGACATATATTTATATAAAAATACATTCTTCTTTGAAGAGCAATCTTTGGCAGGATCCATAACTGCTGCTTACTATGAATCTGTGGGTACCACAAAGCATCTTAACAATCTTCAACAGCATGGTATCTTGGATAGTGCAATTTTCCTTTCATGCATGATGGGATTCCACCTCATGTTGGTACATGTGTGAAATGGTTACTTAGGCAATATTTTATAGATGATGGGTTTATTGGGGCAACACTTATCTGTGTCATCACACAGTCACCAGACTTCAATCCATGTGACTTGGCTATGGGTTTATCAATGCAACATCAGGCATTTGTTGGAGCTGAAAGATGCAATTCACCTGTGTATTCATAACATTCCAGTTGATACACTTCAAGCTATTGCAGAGCATGTGATATTGTGCTTTAACCTGGTTGCAGGAAATGGTGGAAAGTACAGTACATTGAACATGTACTACCATTACTGTTTGTAAAATGTGTTATGATGTCACTACAAAGAATAAACCTTGATTTTTTTCCCCTGGTGGTGCCTTTTTGAACAAATTTTTTTTTGTCTTTTATGAAATCTGGAATTTTAATAAAGGTCATGACTTTTATTAAACCTTATTGGCCTTCATTATTATAATTCCAGGTTTGGAAACATTGGTCCAGTAGTTTTCATTTTATGGGGGTTCAAAGTGAAATTTAATTATGAGCAATCTGTAAATTTACAACAATTTTATATGTTAGTGAAGATTTAAAGAAAAGTTTATACACAAGGGCTATATTCTTGTGAAGAAATGGCTGCATTTTGGATATTAATTATATGTATGAAAAGATGGTAATTGCAATGTGTCAAATCTGGCACTCACTACATATGATGGTCAAATAATTTAAGCCTTTTGTGCTGAGTGGTGTCTACTTGTAAGCACTCACTTAACATAAGGTTTCATTGTTCACTTCATGAAGAATTGAGAGATCCATGGAAGTGTATCAGAAATCTCCAAAATGACAAATTGTTGGTTCTCTCAAACTTTTTCATCAATCTTTTGAACCACTTCATCAGTCATCAGAGATGCTTGTGCCATGCCACTCTCATTCACTTTATTCTTCCCACACACTTTGCAAAGTTGACAATAGATTTGAAGAACTTAAAATTTCTCTCAGCCAAGAACTGTGATCACTGAATGGTATTTTCAATTGCAGTATTGTTATTCACTCAACATTTAGTGACACAAATTACACTCCTGAATGATAACATTAGCAATTCATGCTAAACTTTCATGTAAATCTTTCCTACTTTACCTTCACACACAAATGGAAATTACCTTCTGTATAAACCTCATATTTTGCATATAATAATTTACTAGTAATTATAAATTAATTTTAATTTAGAAATAAAAGTATGCATGCACACTAATAATTTTTTAAAATACACGCATAGTTTTGAAATTTGTATTTATTTACATTACAATTTAATGTTTGTTTTGTTTTACTGATAAATATAAACTTAAATATAGTAATTTTTGAATGCATTCATTTGCAGGTAGTCTTGAAAGTCTTGAATCACTCTACCTCAATGACAATCCAAACTTGCATAGTTTGCCTTTTGAATTGGCATTATGTAACAATTTGCAGATTATGAGCATTGAGAATTGTCCATTATCTCAAATACCTCCAGAAATAGTTAATGGAGGACCTTCTTTAGTAATACAAGTAAGTAAATAAATGCACTATTGTTTAAGACTATGTTTTGTTTTTTCTATGTAAAATAAGGAATTCAGCATAAATGAAATGATATTAAAGCAGAAAATTTTTGTTGTAAATATCTTTAAAGCTGAAAAAAGTATATTAATCAGAAATTGCCTTCTCATGTGATTCAACACAGTCATATTATATATACCTAATAATAAAGTAGAGTTCCACAATATATTTTTTCCTTATGAAAACTTTATATTGACAACATAAGTTATAAAGTGTAGTTGTGTAATGCATTCTCAAATTCATTGCCTACATATAGATCATAATGTACTATTTAACTACAGCATATTGAACATTTCCTCAAAAGTTCTTTGTTGTGAATTTTGTGATAGTTAATTACGATTTCCTGTATATGCAATTAGACCAATCCTCATTAGTTCAAAATTCAAGGGATGAATAATTTGAAGTTGCGATTATTTCAAGATTTACATATTTCTGTACAATATGCCAAATGTCATGTAACTGATGTAATTTATAAGGCAAACAGAATGTGGCTATGTTTAGAATGATGATAATTTTTAACTATTGAAAATAAATAATATGTGACAATAAATAGTATGTGTTCACTGAGAACCTCACAGGTTGTCAGATAGGTTTTATAAAAAGCAAAGCAAATTCCTTGAAATGTAGTAGCCTAGAATCTACAAATATCTCAATGTGCTATTTGTAGTCCATTTTTGCAATCCCGAAAACTAGCCATATTTTGTGAGATAAGAGGGAAAAAAGGTAGTGTGTTACTGTAAAAGCAAAGCCATATTGACCAGATTAGAGTTGTTCTTGGTTTATTGTTCTCTTATAGCATTACTTCGATCTAAATAAATGAATTAACATATGCATGTAAAGTACTATATTATTTTTCCGACTTTCCAACGATTATCGACACTACTGTGTGCCGGAAATAGCCGTTCCCTAACGGGTACTTTACGCGGATTCGCGTTAGTGTGCCAGGCCTGGACTTTAAGCGTGCACCGAATTAAATAATGACAAAGTTTGTCAATAACAAAATCAAATATTTAATTAAACTTCTATNCCTAATAATAAAGTAGAGTTCCACAATATATTTTTTCCTTATGAAAACTTTATATTGACAACATAAGTTATAAAGTGTAGTTGTGTAATGCATTCTCAAATTCATTGCCTACATATGGATCATAATGTACTATTTAACTACAGCATATTGAACATTTCCTCAAAAGTTCTTTGTTGTGAATTTTGTGATAGTTAATTACGATTTCCTGTATATGCAATTAGACCAATCCTCATTAGTTCAAAATTCAAGGGATGAATAATTTGAAGTTGCGATTATTTCAAGATTTACATATTTCTGTACAATATGCCAAATGTCATGTAACTGATGTAATTTATAAGGCAAACAGAATGTGGCTATGTTTAGAATGATGATAATTTTTAACTATTGAAAATAAATAATATGTGACAATAAATAGTATGTGTTCACTGAGAACCTCACAGGTTGTCAGATAGGTTTTATAAAAAGCAAAGCAAATTCCTTGAAATGTAGTAGCCTAGAATCTACAAATATCTCAATGTGCTATTTGTAGTCCATTTTTGCAATCCCGAAAACTAGCCATATTTTGTGAGATAAGAGGGAAAAAAGGTAGTGTGTTACTGTAAAAGCAAAGCCATATTGACCAGATTAGAGTTGTTCTTGGTTTATTGTTCTCTTATAGCATGGAGACACTTCAATCTAAACATACAAGTTAACATATGCATATTACAGTTCAGACAGAATTTTCTTTTCAAATTTCAAAATAGCTGTATTTTGAACGAACTGAATTCTTTAACATGTAAATCTCTATAGCTCTGGCCGAGACAAAAGTAGTTATGAACTATCAGAGTTCAAATTAACAAGGATGTCCTGTATAACCAATAAATATGCTCTTACAGAAAATATTACTTTTGTTATACAAAATATATGCACAGTGATCGTTGTAAAAATGGTGAATTTCGCTTCAAATCATCAAGAAGTGTTCTGAATATCTTTGTGCTAACTAAGCAGAGATACTCAGAACACTTAATTGTCTTCCTAGCCAACTAGATTTCTTACTTAGCAGTCTGCATTACTGACATGCCCATAGTTTTATTTTGATGCTATTACTGTAGTTACTTCTTTGTAAGTTTACAAGAAAAAAATGGAGCTGTGTATTCATAACATTCCAGTTGATACACTTCAAGCTATTGCAGAGCATGTGATATTGTGCTTTAACCTGGTTGCAGGAAATGGTGGAAAGTANATAATTCCGTTTTATATGAATTCCATGTTGTACGAGTCACTTAAATTTTACAAATACATGTGCCGGGCTGTGAATGGCTCACGTATTTGTAAAATTTAAGTGACTCGTACAACATGGAATTCATATAAAATGGAATTATCAACAGTGTTATAGGGGGGTCGACTTGTATTACTGAGTTAATCGGTTTATCATTTGTCTTTGTATTTAATTTTTAATGAATTTTTCTTGATAAGTAAACAGTAACGTTTAATTAAAGAAGAAGACTCTGTGAACTGTGGGGTTAAAACATTGTGTAAACTGATTAATAATCTGTTAATGCATTCAAAGAACAATGTTTTGAGTTATGAAATAAAAAATGAACAGAAATTAAATTGACATTTTTTCTTACCCTGATTCAGTGCTTGGAAAGGTTCAAACTGTTGACATATAATTGCCAACAGTCCCAATGGTGATATCCTTAATTAGTTGATTATTTCTAAAAAAATTTAATTAGATTAAGATTATTGTTTATTTTGATTATAAAATTAATTATTATTATTATTAATACATTAATTTTATTTTTACAGTACTTAAAAATGAAGGGACCTTATCGTTCAATGTGAAATTACAGTATTATTTAGGCACAAGTTCTATTCATGGTTGTCAAGCTGTATATTGCTTGAAGATTAGAAAAATAAAAAACATGACGACTCAACCACAGAAAAAACATTTTTATGACCATCTTTGGTCCAAAACTCCACAAGCGATAATTCAAATGTTTGCTAGACAGAGTGCCCTGCTGTGGAAACATAAAAGATGGAACGAACATGTGGTTGTTAACCTTTTAAATCCAGTCTTTTGTGCAATGTTCTTCAATCTATGGAAAAAAATATATATATGGAAAAATATTTAAAAAAATGATGTCATGATTAAAAAAACAAGCTACCAATATTTGATAAATTTCAGAATTTATTCCTGCAGACTATTTATTTATATGAAAATATCTTCAAAATAAAGTGCATAAGTATAAATTATTATTAAGTGTACTTTATAAATTAATTTCAAGTTACAGGTTGAATTTGAAGTACTGAATGTAAATGCATCATTTTGAATCAAACTTAAAAATCAGTTATAGAAATCCCTTGATGGTAATTCACAAATGTTTGTGATCATCGTCAAGAGAAATAACAATATAATGAATTCCAATGCCTTAAACCTTATGTTATAGATTTTAGTGTTTTGTTTCTTTTGTATTAAATATATTCTATTTTTTGAATAGTTTATATCAAATTTTAACTTTTAACAGTAAGAAGTAAAATCCATATATTCTATTGAGTTTCATCAACTTCAAATCGCAACTGAATGTTACAATGGAAAAGAAAAAAATATTTATATATAGCACAACAGATTAAAGAATCTTGCAAAAAATCAAAATTATTTAGAAATACCATAGATAGAATAATCAATATCCTTAAAATAAATCTGAGGAAAAAAATTTTGTTTGCAATGGTACAGTGGTAACATGACAGAAAAACATGCACTGCTATAGACTGGTAGCATATCATCTTTAGCAACAAATCCTGGTTCTGTCTGAAAACAGCCACCACATTTTGGAGGATCACTGGTAAGACAATCCTACCTTTACTGATGAGTAGCAGAGTGATTCTACCTCCATTGTGGCAAGCTGGTCTCAGGAACCATCTTGTGAATTTCCAGTCATCTCCATTATTTTTCCAGAATTTGAGTTTGATTGCTGAATTGTTCAACTTGGGAACAGTTCAAGAAGTGAGATACCACTGTATTTAGTTCATCATTTTTATGAATGATATTTACTTATTTACAGTTTAAAAAAGGTTAACACTTTTCCCTAAAAATGTTTAATTTTTGCATTTAGTAGTTTATTTAATCTATAAAAACAAAAAACAGTGAAGATCTTAAAGGATAAAATCTGAAATGACAATGACTTGGTTTGTAGGAAAGTTAGGACAAGGAAGAAAAAAATTACACTAACAGTTTTCATTAAAGTAAACCTGACAAAATGCACAAAATTAAAATTTCAATAATCTAAAATCGTGAGCAACTTTGAGACAACACAAGTGCTTAGTTGAATAAAAAAGAATATAGAATAATGAACTTTACTTAAAAAGTTGTGAAATTTTCAAACAGTGTTGTACAAAGGATACCTCTACTTCCAAATAATTCCTATTAAAATTGCCAATCACATATTTTTAGTTTGATTAGACCACCTCATAATGTCTTAGCATGTTTTGCACCAACTTGATAAAAAGTAATTTCATAAGTTTGCTAATTAATGATTGAAAGGAGTAAACTAGAATAGTTGAATCATTAGCACTAATATTTATGTTTTATTAAATCAGCATTTATGATACTTCAGTTTTAAAAGTATCACATAATGAATGTTGATTTGTGTGTTAAATTCATTTGATATGATTCTGTCATTGCATCATAATGTATAAATTAGAAAAAAAAATTATTTTCAATGTTCTATTCAGGAATGTTTTAAAAGTCATTTTCAGACTTATCTTTTATAGTTCTTAATCTAATCTTTCATACACAGTATATTGATTATAATGAATTAAATTTCATGTGACGTACCTATAGTAGAAATACAGTACATACAAGTCGACCCCCCTATAACACTGTTGATAATTCCGTTTTATATGAATTCCATGTTGTACGAGTCACTTAAATTTTACAAATACATGTGCCGGGCTGTGAATGGCTCACGTATTTGTAAAATTTAAGTGACTCGTACAACATGGAATTCATATAAAATGGAATTATCAACAGTGTTATAGGGGGGTCGACTTGTATTACTGAGTTAATCGGTTTATCATTTGTCTTTGTATTTAATTTTTAATGAATTTTTCTTGATAAGTAAACAGTAACGTTTAATTAAAGAAGAAGACTCTGTGAACTGTGGGGTTAAAACATTGTGTAAACTGATTAATAATCTGTTAATGCATTCAAAGAACAATGTTTTGAGTTATGAAATAAAAAATGAACAGAAATTAAATTGACATTTTTTCTTACCCTGATTCAGTGCTTGGAAAGGTTCAAACTGTTGACATATAATTGCCAACAGTCCCAATGGTGATATCCTTAATTAGTTGATTATTTCTAAAAAAATTTAATTAGATTAAGATTATTGTTTATTTTGATTATAAAATTAATTATTATTATTATTAATACATTAATTTTATTTTTACAGTACTTAAAAATGAAGGGACCTTATCGTTCAATGTGAAATTACAGTATTATTTAGGCACAAGTTCTATTCATGGTTGTCAAGCTGTATATTGCTTGAAGATTAGAAAAATAAAAAACATGACGACTCAACCACAGAAAAAACATTTTTATGACCATCTTTGGTCCAAAACTCCACAAGCGATAATTCAAATGTTTGCTAGACAGAGTGCCCTGCTGTGGAAACATAAAAGATGGAACGAACATGTGGTTGTTAACCTTTTAAATCCAGTCTTTTGTGCAATGTTCTTCAATCTATGGAAAAAAAATATATATATGGAAAAATATTTAAAAAAATGATGTCATGATTAAAAAAACAAGCTACCAATATTTGATAAATTTCAGAATTTATTCCTGCAGACTATTTATTTATATTCTCAACGTTGGTGCAAATTGATGACGATTACAATGATTTCTAACATGACTATATTGATTTTACTCCCTTTAGAAACAAGACATTAGAAGTTAGTTATCCCATCATGTATACACAAGTATTTCTTGATCCTGTTTGTCCTTCCCATCGCAAACATTGTAATATAATTTTGTTATCTTTGCATTTTTCAATGTAAATCTAGTCTTGATTTACAAGTGTTCAGTAAAATGAGAATTTGTAAGTAATAAATTTGCATGAAAGAAGATTGATTTAAATCTCTCCTCCCCCGACTTCTTGATATGTTTTGATAATCTCTGTCGTCTTCTCAATTCTGGATAAACGGGTAGTCACGCAATGAAACTATCTGAATTGCTGATCAAACCGCTACTTTGAAAACAAATTATCCCAATTAGGTAAATGAAAAAAAATCATTTACACCGTGCATTCGAGACATTCTTGTTTGTTTGAATGTGGCAGCTATTCTGTTTAACTATATGATTTTGTTGATAATTTATTGTCATGCAGTTCTATAATGTTGCTGTGTATTAGTCAAGATTATTTTCTGATTATGTTACTTAGTCTGGATACATTATATCAAGACGTAAATGTTCTGTGTAAAGAGAAGAAACCGATGATAACATGGCATTGTTATATAAATATATATACATATATATATTTACACACATGATAATCGAGTGTTAAAACATTTTTTAAGTCGTTATCCCATTTACGGAAATTGTCTTCGATGCACGCAATCACGATCATACTGAATGGGACAGTTCGATATTCATTACATTGAAGCCAGGGGCCATTGAAGAAATGTCAGCACCGCGAATAGTAGTGTCATAAGTTACTGAATACTTTTTTTTTTTGTTATAATTATTTATTAAAATAGACGAGCATCTTTCCCTAGTCAAATTTTAGTATATCGTCTTGTAAATTTGTCACAGTATTTATTTTGTCTCCAAAATTGCAAGATAGGAGAAAAACTACAAAAAAAAGAAAAAAAAAGCAAGCTGTACACCTTGTCATAGTTAAATCTATAGTTGCAGTACGTGTATAGAATGTGCTGCAGATAAATTTTTATATGTCAAGTGCTTCCTTCATCTAAATAAAATGCCACCAGATATAATAAACTTCACCAGTCGATTCCAGCTTATTTTCCATTTTGTTAAATGAAAAAAAAAATCATTACAGAAAGACAACTTCCAGTGAAATTAGATGGTGCTTCCAGTTTTAAAATTTTATCATACATAGCTTACGTATTTATATATGTAGGATATTTATGATAAGATAAGAGACATTCTGTAAAATGGTGTTCTAGTTTACTAATGCATATTTGTTATTATAAATGTAGTGGTTTTTAAAGTACGGACATCGTAATCATTGTTGGAAACAAATTTGGATTGATAGCACCATTTACGTGTCTGTTGAAGAATGGATCATATGTAAAATTTCTTTTAATCGTACAAAGATCTGACAGTTTTGTATTCAATGCTCCTAATGAAGTTTAAGAAAGTTTAATGACCATTTTTAATGTTTTTTTTCTGTTGTTGTTGCTGTACATATATCAAGTCATCCGTTCGGTTAGAGAAAGTGGATATGCTCTTTATATGCTGTTCTGTTTGAAACGGAAATAATGAAGTAATTACTGTAATTCTTGATGTTTCTGTTGTGTTAAACCAATGTGTTATTTGCCTGCTACTGTAAATATTCAACATGAACACTGCTTCTATGGTATGTGTAGCACAGAAAATAAAAATTCCTGTTATCAAATTTCTGTTTATTTTTTCTCCACACACTAATGCTAAGTTCAAATTTATCAGTGTTGTTTATTACAATAATTACCTCTGTACTCAAATTTGTGGAGTGCCCCATTAAGTCCAAAACTATATATATAAAATTAACAAAGGTCAACGTAATTCCTATATATAACGTGCCCAAGTAAGGAGGAATGTATTCAAGTTAATTTCATGGCAGGTATTCACAGTCAGTACGAAATCTCCAGAGTTAACAGACTGCGTAAATTAGATGGAAGTCTGGATGCAGCCTGTTATTGGCAGCTTGTTTATATGCGGGTATCCACCATCAAAATAACTTGAATTTGTTTCTCCTTATGCTGCTTATCATTTACAGGTAAAGTATAGCATTAACAGGTAAGATCAAGATAACTCCTACAGTTCCAAACTTATGATACAGCTTGTATATTTAATGCTTTTTGTAGTTATGTAACTCATTGATGGATTTTTTTAAATAGTCCTCTGAATGATGTCATTTTAACCTCTAGCCTTAATAATAATAATAATATATAGAGGCATTCTATTAATATTACTATTTTTAAAATTGCGGGTGTGATCTACAGTATCCCATGTTGGTGTAAAAATGGGAAAGGATGTTTGAATTTAGGTTGAAAGCATGATGCAATAATAAGGCTAAGGTATGAGAATTCACACACATTTCCATGTTGAAAAAAATGACTGTTAGATAAATAAACGGAAGATACATAAACTAGGGTAAAATTTTATATAGAGAAACAGAATTATTAAAGGAAATTTATCAAACATTTTGAAATTATGAAACAAATAAATTTAAATAATGGTATGGTTAATTAATGCAAATTGGGATGTCATGCTATGACTTGGCTAGTTGGATAGTAAAGTACGAAAGAAGTTGCTTCGTAACCATTACTGGAGTGTGTTGTTATTTTAAAATAAAATTTTTTCAAAATGTTATATGGATGCATAGTAGTTTTTGGGTATTTGTTTTGTTTTATATAGTTGGTGATTTGGTTTATTGTATTGTAGAATATACTGATGAGGGGATAAAGCCCAAAATGCACATAGGGGTGTTGGTTGTTTACATCGGGGATGGGTAAATATCAAATACATTTAAAAAGTAAAAAAAAAAAAAAAAACTTACTCAGAATAAGATGAAAGCATTCGTTTTGTTTTATATAGTTGGTGATTTGGTTTATTGTATTGTAGAATATACTGATGAGGGGATAAAGCCCAAAATGCACATAGGGGTGTTGGTTGTTTACATCGGGGATGGGTAAATATCAAATACATTTAAAAAGTAAAAAAAAAAAAAACTTACTCAGAATAAGATGAAAGCATTCGGTGATCAATTTCCATCAATTGAACGTTCTCAAAACGTGTCTTGTCAAACAAAAACAGGACTTTCTTCATTTTCAACAATGTTGTAATTCGCACGTGCAAACTTCCTCGCTGCCACCTTGAAATTCCCTCTCTCTTACATCAAGAAATCTGCACTTCTGATTGGATGAATATTTTGTCCAATTACACATTGGGATGTCAACGTAATCTGTCAAACAAACATTTTTCGGAAGTCACCACTGATGCAATATTTGGTCAGAGTCAATGGATTTTCTGGTCAACGAACCAATTTGATGCCTTTGAAGTATTCAAATCATATACAGTAATACCCCGAACTTACGTGACAGGTAGGACTGAGCGATAACCGAGTAAATCGGGGTATAATTTTGCAATTTATGTAAAATCCAAGTCTGATGTATGTAAGCTAATAAATGTTCTTGTTAATCCTATCTCGTCTTTTGATTCATTCATGGTTACAAGAAATCACCACATAGACTCTCTTGAGTCTCCATAGATATAACAAACACAGAAATAAATAGCTACAATTTATTTTGTGTTACGCGTCGATTCAACGCGACACGTCCGAGCATGTAAGCTGAACAATAGTGTGGGGGGAGTGAGTAATCAAGAGTTGCATGGCGCTCAAACAAAAGACAAATCAACGAGATTTGAAAATCGCGTAAGTCGAGGTATTACTGTACAAGCTTTACATATTCATTAACAAAGTTTTGACTGTATACTTGACCAATCCAATGACATCATTGTCTTCAAATCCACTGAGTTGATAAGTTTTCTCTGGATAGTACAAGTGCATAAAATATTTAGCCATGACAACGACCTTTGTACCTGCGGAAAGACTATTTTCAAAAGCAGATAATATCTTCAGCGTGATTTACACTGGACACAAAATGAAAGAAGCTATCAAAAACACACAAGCTTGCGAAGCGAGTTAAAAATTTTCACGTCAACCAAGGGAATATATGATAGCTATGCCAGTCAATGAAAGAAACATTTTCATCTCAACTAGTTCTCCAATGACAACACAAAAAAAAAAGATGGCTGACTGGACATCTGGGAGCAATCCAAAGTTTGGTTTGGCTCTAATTGCACCCAATAATTAAAATGATCCATATTGAAAGTAATATATAATTTGATTTCGATAAGCCTACATAACACAGTAAATAACTGTGTTATGTAGTTTTACTGATTATAGTTTACCGAAAAACAGTTTTGTTGCTTGTCTCTGCTCTGTGTAAAATTAATATGGTATTCTAATAGGCAAGTGCTCACAGAAACTTTCATGGTAGTCTGCGCAGATATGCATCCCATTACTCACTATTTAGCTGCCCTATCATGTGCCTGGCTTAATGCACAATAAGTACAACTAAAATGACCCTGTTAATGACCACAGGTCAGAGGTAAAAAACTGAAAATATCAAAATTTTGAAATTACATACAGAAAAATTATTGATTTTATTTAAACTCCAACAAAATTTTGGTTCAAAACTAGAAGACATTCCTTACTACAGGCAGGGTGCAAATTCTCATCATCTCTATAGAAAATTGTATATTCCATTTGTTTCAGATAAAACATGAAAAATGGCTGATTCAGGTAATTGAACCATTGAAGAACACAATCTTTAGTTGTTGGGTTTATGAAAGGAGGGGGAAAAAAACAAAATGGAAGAGATGCATGCAAGACTTCAGCCTCCTCCAAAAAGATCACTTTTCTGGTAGAAACATGAGATTTTTACAACAGTGCAAAGAATAAGCTTACATTTAGTTGTTTGGAATGGTTCTACAGAATGTTTCCATATTGATATCATAGGCCATCTCGGTATGGACTCCTCAACTTCACTGCATTATTTGCATCTGGTGGAAGGTCTGCCACTTCAATTATCCTTTGCATTATCTATTGTAAATATTTTACATACTTGTCAGAAAAGTTTTTGGCTGTTGTCCAAACCTCTGAAGTCTACACACACCTCATCCATCAGTTTCCCTGTTCTCTCTTTTTCATATATTGTAACAATTATACATTCTTCAATAGTGTAGTTACTTCAATCAGAACATAAAAAAATAGCAATCTGAAACAAACAAATGAACACACAATTTTCTACAGGAGTGACAGAAATTTGTGTCTATCCTATAGAACAGGGCTTCTTAAACTATGGGTCGCGACCCCATTTGGGATCGCTTAGCGAAATCTTGGGGTCGCGAGATTTTAATGCAAAATATGAAAAATAATTCGTGAGAGTTTGAAAATGGCATGCTTCGTGTCATAGGTTTCGTGAGTTGCGCTTTGTGTCACTTCTGGTGCAGCGAGACAACGATTCAACAACACAGAGACAACTGAATACACTGTATTCAGTGTATTCAGTTGTCTCTGTTCCATTGTAACATAAGAATGAACTGTGGTAGTACACTATTATTGTTTTTGCAAATTTGTATATATCTTTATTTTATATTTTTGGGGTCGCGACAAAAATCACAATCATAAATGGGGTCGTAAATAAAAAAAGTTTAAGAAGCCCTGCTATAGAATAATGTTGGTCTCACATGTGCCCAGAATTTCCACATGTAAATCCATCTCAATGTATACATAATAAGATGTGTATAAACAATAAAATTAAGTCAAAAGCAATAATTGTTTTCACAATTTATTAATTACATTTAATTCAATAAATAATATCTTTTTTAAACAATGAATTGATATGCCGATATTGAAATATACAAAGCTCACTAGATTTACCAGTTTCTCTTTATATAAATATCACAAAATATTAATTTTTAAATATAATACAATAGATTTTCCTTTATAGAAGCATTTATAGATTTATGAATCTTAAAAACCCAAATATTAATACATTACACAACTAAACAGAATTTAATTCCATTATATATTAAATAATTTCAAATTATGCAAAAATTATAAATAAAGATCTTAACACACTAACAAAGTTCTTATTACACCAATAAAATTTTAAATGAAAACACACATTCACAAAACATGACAAACAATTATACTATTTCTTCAGGACTTTCATTAAACAATACTATATTTTAAAAAATCGTTTTGATTTTTTTATGTACATAAAATTACAAAAGTTATTGATTTAAAGTCCTTTAAAACTCATGGCAATATTTACTTGTTAAACAAAAATTAATTATGTTTTAACTGTTAAAGAATTTTTGACAACCCCCTGAAAAAAATATTAAAATTGATCTAAATGCCCATAACTTGAATTGATAAGGCAAATTTCTTAAACGATAGCTATATTTTATCATATGTTAATATTAGCAATCATCCAGTTTATATAACAACATTAACCGTAAATTTTATCATCATGCTATACAATTTATGATAGTCACTTTTAATTCAACAATTCTGATACGATAAAGTTTGGTTTTTGAATGTCTACGTCAAAAATGCAGCATACTAAGGACATGAATGGAATGCTAATTGCCCTTCAATTCTAACAACAAATTCTGGTTTTTAAATTAATATGGTGTCCTTTGTGTAATATTCACCAAATCATGGGTACTGAAAATAAATGATTAAAATATCAATTTTCTATATACATAATAATTTTTAGTTATCAAAATTTAATAAAGAAAAATTAAAAATTTATTTACCTTTTCCCAAATTTGATATGAATCACTAAAAATATTACTGCTAAAACAAGGCAAATACTACCAACAACAATATATGCAATACCCAAAAAGGAATTTTTTCCTCCTAACCATGAAGTATTGGAAAGAATCATACGTTTTGTACCTTTGAAAGAAGTAACAGGATAATCTGAGTGATTATTAAGGATGTTTAAATTTTAGATAATAATAATAGCTATATTAGTAAATTTACAAATTCAAATACAGTAAAGTGTTGATGAACCGAAATGTCGGTTAACCAAAAGCATTCCAGTCAGACTGTGTCGTGCTGAATCAAACGTTTTGATACTAGATTAACTTCTGAAGTATAACTTTTTTTTGTTTTTATATTTTTCAATATATTTATTTTGTTTGTACAAAATAAAGAAATAATTTTTAACGATACAATAGCCACGATTATTATTATAAAAATTTTTGCTAGGCTTATCAACAAAAATTCAACACAAAGCAACACGCAACGGAGAAAAATTTAAACATGGGATTTATTAATATACTATTATTGGGATAAACTAATATACTATATTAATAATGTATTTTTTCATACATAATCAGTTATCTGAAAAATCGGTTTTCTGAACAATCCACGCTCTACTGTAATTAACTATTTTTAAACTAATTTTTACATTATACAATTGAATTATGAAAATATTAAAAATACATTGCTGTAATTTTAGAAAATATATTTTTTGAAAACTGTGTTTTATAACAGAATTAAATGCAATTTTATTTATATCAAGCATTTCAAACATATTTGCACTTAGTCAAATATATATGATTTTATTTTTCACAAAGGGTATTTTTACCTGCACAACATCTGAACTATGTTTAAATATAGTTTTGTACAATTAATTCATTTTTAAAATTTCTTTTCATAATTATTATTTAATTTTCAATGTATCAAACATCATTTTTTTGCTTGCTAAATTATTGATGATAATGCAAATTATTGGATAGTTAATATTAAAGGATATTAAATTAAATACCAAAAATTACTGAACCAATTCCAGTTTATTATAGTTGAGTTAATCAAGTAATTTTATCAATTAGAAAATCTGAAGTAAAGATAAATATATTAACTGCAAATTAATTCAAACTTTCCAGACATCATTAAAGAACATTTTGATGTGTCTAACATGCCCAGTAGTCAAAAGTTTTAGATCCAAAACGTGCACAATGTTTAAGTACATTATCTTCAATACTTATTAAACACTTCTGCCAACAGAGCAGAAATGCATAAAAAATGTATTTATCAAACAAAACATGTTTATTACTTTTGACAATTTATAGTATCCTAATGTTGTGAACTAAGGTAGATTTATATTGAAACTAATGAAACTTAAACTTCAGGAAACTGAATCCAGGGGTACCATATAACCGAAATTTTTAATATTTAATTTCAATTTGTAGAAATAGTATGTTATTTATGTATAAACTGTATACTTTCCTACACAGAGACAAAAGGTATCCCATGCACATAAATGAACATACACTTAAGTCTTATGAAGCCCAAGACTACATGTTGTGACTCAAGCTGTGCTAAACATATAATTATGCAAATTTTGTTAGTCTAAGTTTATATTTTGTTTATAGGCTTGAGAGGCTCTAATATCTTTACACTGAAAAATGTCAAATGACAATAAAGAGACTTCAAAAATATTTAATTTGTTGTACTTGTAATATGGAACTATTAGTAACATACCTATTAATATACAAAAATTAAAGATGATCTGCTCATATGTAAAAATTCTCTTATATACAAGTACAGGTAACCCCCGTATAACACGGTAGTTACGTTCCAAAAAATTGCCGTGTTATGCGAATCCGTGTTATACGAAACAAAGAACTAATACGAAAAGGAGGGTTAGGTTCCAAAAATTAAAAAACATGCTAGTATATTTTCATAATTAAGATAAATATCTTAATTAAAATTTTTTTAAGTGATACATATTAATATAAATTAAACAATGTTTTCTTCGTCATCACTAAAAACACTATTAATTAACCGAGAGCGTTTTCTTTTTGGCAAGTTATCCTTATCCTCTGAGCATTTTTCTGCATTATCTTCAGATCCATGCTTTACCTTTTGCAAAATGTATGTAATTTTAGATTGCTTGCTTCTAGTTAAAAGGTCTTTATAAATTTCCTTATATGGTGCTAAGCACTTATGAAGAATAAAGCAAGTATGGAATAAGGGAAAAACATTCGGCAACATCAGAAGCAGAAGCGTCGCGATCTGGCAACATTGAAACAAGTTTCGAGAAGGACCACGTGTATCGACAGAAGGCGAGAAGAGAAAATTTACATACTTAAGTACTAATAGTTCACGAAAATAATAATTTTCGTGAACTATTACTACTTAAGTATGTAAAAATTTATTACATTTCCTGTTGTATGAGGGTTTTACCCAATTCTCAAACCGTGTCAGAGTAAATCCGTGCTATAAAAGTATCGTGTTATATGGGGGATGGTACTAATTCTCGAACTGTGTTAGAGTGAATCCATGCTATAGAAGTGCCGTGTTATACGGGGGTTACCTGTATATAAAAATTTTTTAAAAGGGGCTCCAGAAATTTAAGTTTCAGCAAACTTGAACTAAATGGGTACAAAGTTAATATTTATAGTTATATACAATATATGGTTTACTTAATTTTTTTAATTCTTTCCAAATAGGAAGGAAGAAATTAAAATAAACCCCCAAATCCCCATATACATGGCCTTGGAATGAACCACAGTGACAACTTCATTAATAAACAGAATAAATGTCATTAATAGGACATGGTGCCAACTTTTGTTTGTGTACAAAAATTTTTTCAGCATTCATAAAAAAGATCTTTACTTAAATTAAATTTATCATTTGAGGAAGTTGGTTAAAAAGTTTTGTGAAGTATCAGACCACAAAATCAAATATATATAATTCTAACAAGTAATTTTACAATAAATAAAATTTTACTTTTAGTTAATTAGTCAAAATTTTTAGCTAATTAGTAATGTATTTATAATGTAGCAGTGTTTCTTAAAGACAAGAAACAACCAAAATAAAGCTGCTAATTTTTGTCATAGAGGTTAGATCTGAATATCAAAAATCATTCACCAAGGTATCATCCTATTAGTGAATATAATAATTCCCTGATTATACAAATCATTCTTATTCAAGAATTGCTATTGCATTGTGGATGTATTTGTAATTTTCTATTATACTGTGGGGGGAAAATTTCACTAAATTTTGGATTAAAACAAAGACATTATGCAAAACAAATTGCAACAGAAAACTAAATTTCTTTTAAATCTTTTATAAAAGTTTAAATTTAGCATCTAGATGTGTTCGTAGTTCTTCAATCAGTGAAACGCCTTTTCTCACATTTAGACGCTATTCGTGTAATAATTTTTAAAAATTAAACTTCGTGGACAATTCTTTTGATGTAGCTTGTAAAATACTCTATAGTAACAAGAATTATAAAACGAAAAATTCCTTTATAACAGATCTTTAAAAATATCTGATACACAATAGAAAAACCATTTGGAATCTTAGTCATCTTATAGAATATATTAGATTTTTTAAAAGGATACTATAATCCACAACCAATTTGTATGTTCCATTGGGAAGACCATTTTTAAATCTTTCCTGATTATGATTTATGCGTCTGTATAACTTCCGAAATGTAGGCAAAGCTGCTGTTCTCATCCATACTATTAAATCTTCATTCTGATAGCCGTTATTATTTTCATCTTTCGGATCTAATTTCCACACGGGTTTTCTCCAGTTTGGTGGTGGAATTGTATGTTCAAAGGCTAAATTTTTGAAAAATGATTATTATTACATAACTTTTAAATATTCAAAATGGATTAATAATATTCAAACTGGAAAATTTTTCAAATAATCTTACTTAAAAAATTTTTCCAGTTTGAATATTTATTATTCAAAATCAATTTATTATTCAATCAAAAAGATACTGACAAATAAAATTAATTTTAATTTCCAAATTATAAAAGTGCAAATGGTTTAAGTTCATAACTATACATCATCATAATCCAAAACAAAATCACCATCACAATAACCTATTAAATTTCTCAAAATAAATATACTGTATTACATACCTTTTCCATCAGTTACATTTCCAGGAGGATTTTTAAATTTTACATTTTTATCAGTTGGCCAAGCAATTCCAGTCTTTTTTAATCCAATAGCAATTTCTTGATTATTGTCATCAATATAGTATAATTTCAAACTATCTATTAAAATATTTTAAAATCAATTATTTTGTGAAATATGTCAAGTATTCATTTAATACTGATTTATTAAATTTCAGCTTTGCAAACAGTAAGAAGCATTAAAAAAATATTAATTAAAAACAGATAATGAAGCAAAAATTTTTAAACATTTAATAACATCTTTTAGATTTTTCTATATTCTTAAATGTTAATTGATATAATATTTTAGAAAACAGAGAAGAATAAATAAAAGTTCTAAGTGCATATTCCTTTGATGAAAATATGTTTTAAAGTTAATACAAAACATCATACATGGCCTTCCAGCAAATCTGTATTGAAATCAACTAAAAATGGAACATTTTCATCTCTTTCAGGGACCTGCATCAAGCATAGATCATTACAGAATATTAGCAGAGATTCTAAATTTAGAATCTCTGCTAACATTCTCTAAAGATCTACGCTTGATGCAGAACCATAAAAGATGCCAAAAAAGTTCCATCTTTAGTTGATTCTAATACATATTATTTGCTGGAAGACTGTATGGTGTTTCATATTAACTTGTGTATGTTTCAGCTTTTGTAGACTTTTAAGTTATATTTTCAAGCCAAAATATAGGTAAGACCTATTAATTAAATGTAATTATTTTCAAATCAAATATTAAAAAGGCAATTGTGAACAGTACAAACACTGACAGTTGCCTTTTTGATTCAATAATAGCCTAAAACTAACATCTGAATTAAATTTGATCTATCAATTGAAACAATTGTAGTATTCTACTAGGTCCTGGATACTTCATTTTCAAATTTATTCATAATTATTACTTTCGTTCATCCATAAATGCTAATTTATTTTATTTAATACAGGGATTAATTTTTTCATTTTTGTGCTTTATTTAAATTCCAGAAAAATACTGAACTCAGAAGATGCCTAAACTAAAGGATTTTTAAAATTACCATAGCCTACCAATTTCTTAAATAATTGCTACAGAAAACTAAAAATTTCTTTATCATATGCTTTACTGCTGCATATTTTCAGCAAAAATTTTGATATAACTAAATGTTTGTCAAAAAGTCAATACAAAAATTTTAATTGCTAATAGTTTTTATTAAACAAACATTTTCAGCTATTTTAAACAGAGTAATCAGGTTGATGTGAAAAACTTTAGTTTTCTAAGACATATTTACATGTATGGGCATAGAAACTGCAATCAAAATGTTCTTTCCTAACTTGGCAATTGGGCTACTTTTTTCTAACAATGTTCGAGAAAACTAACACATCTCACATTAATTAAAGTTATTGATTTGCATTGTTTATTATTATTTATATCAGTAACAGTATCATCTCTTCTTTTAGATATGTTGTAAAAATACATAAAATACTTGAAAGCACAAAAATAATAACTTATAAATATAAAGCCTAGTCTGTGTAAGTCAAGTACTGTACTGAAAGCAGAAAAGAATAAAAATGAACTTATACACAGGCTACACACGAGCAATACATTACATTATCTGCTCTTATTGATGACTCATTAAGAAAGTGGTCATTCACTAACTCCTGTCTAAGGCAATGTTTCACTAATACCATTTCAACTAATGCTATTGTAAAACTGGGAATTCAATGCAGGAACTATCTGCATTTAATGTTGTTAAAGCAACAGTAACTTTAAATTGCATCTCTAGCATAAGTTTGTAATCTGTACAAAGTAAATATTTGATTAAGTTCAACAATCTATCCTGAAATTGTCTTGCATTTGCATTTCACTTACTAAGTATTCTATATTTAATTTATTTTGTACATTTTTTACTACATGTTTTCTATGCATGGCTAAGGAAACAGGCCTATAATAAATCTTTTGCTGTCTTCTTTTCTGAGCTACTGTAATCATTACTCAAATCTTTTAGTATCCATCTAGTCTGTTAAATTAATTTATATATCTAAGAAACTTATTTGAACAAAATCATCATCATAATCTTCCCAAGTATGTTTAAGACTGATTAAATGGACACTATTCACAGTATAAACATCTTCATGGACACTATTAAAAACAGTTCTTAAAGTACAAATTTTAAAATTTTCACAGCTTAATATTTGAAACATTATAGTCTGAAACAGATGATTTAACACTATCTGCAGCACTCTTAAAAATGGAATTAACTTTTTAAAATTATAAAGAGTTACAAATAAAAGTACTGTACACACACACTATCTTTATGTCCTTATAACTTCAAACTTAAGTCACATTTGATTCCCTTTCTAACTACATTACCTTAACTAACTATACTTTTTCTTATCTAAAGGTCACTTCCATGCTTCACTTTTCAAATTCTTCTGATATATCCATGTCTTTTGTGTGTGTTAAAATTCTTCCTTTCTCTAACATCTTCCAAAACTATATTAGTCAACAGTAACCATCAACAGTGCTGTAGGAGTACAAATAAATGAGAAAAATCAAAACTGGATCAACATAATTATGAGGATTATGGATGATGTAACAATTCATCTCATCTATAGAAGCAACTGAGATGGTCATGTTTTCAAAATGCAATCAATCCACCAATCATACGTTCCTCATGTGGAAAAATAGTTCCTCAATCTACAATTTGTTCTGAATACAACAGATTAAAACAATTGAGAAAGAACTGCAAAATATAAAAGCTTCATGTTTAATAAATCATCTTAAAATTTAAAAAAATAGTCTTTGCAGTTTTTTATATTAAAGGTTCCTACTCAAATTTTTTAAATTTCCATGACCTCCCCTGACCAATTTTGTATAAATTCTCATGCAGTATGGCACATTGACAAAATAAAACATTTGACTTCCTATGCAAATATGTTTTGCTTCTCCACTTTAATTAGTTCTTTTTTTAAGTTATATATATATATATATATATATAATGGATTTCTTTTCCATATATATATAATGGATTTCTAAATATATATATATATTTAGGTTGGGGGAAAAGAAATCCATTATTTTTACGTTCATTTCAAGTCTTTGTTTAACATGGTTCTGATTGTTTGACTTGGATCAAATATGCACCGTTTTGTTTTATAATTTGTTGCCATTTTAAAGGTAACTTCATAGTTCTTCTCTCGTAGAAGCCCTGGTCCCTATTGGTGAAAAACTTGACTAAGTGATTTTCGCAATCCTCTCTTGATGCCAATTTCTTATCACCAAGGAAATTTTGTAATGATAAAAAAAGATGGTAATCGCTTGGTGCCAGGTCTGGACTATAAGGTGGATGCATCAAAACTTCCCAACCAAGCTCCTGGAATTTCTGGCGAGTCACTATAGATGTGTGTGGCCTGGCGTTGTTGTGA